AACTAAGTTTAAAGCTTGCTTTTAAGGGGGTAGGAATTAAGTATAAATAATAATACTTTTAGCGTTTATTTATAAAGTATAAAAAAATAGTAAAAAAACTATAGTATTATTATAGTTATAGTTATATTATATTAGTGCTTATTATTAACTTTATTGCGTTAGTAGTTAAGTAGTTTAGTACTTTATCTATTACTTAATTAGTAGTAATTTAATAAGTTATTTTATTAAATAGAAAATATAAAAAAAATAAAAAAGGGGTATTACAAAATAAAAGGCTAAAGCTAATGTTATTAAATATTATTATTATCTTACTAAACGTATAAAAATTCTAAAAGTGCTAGTAATAATTACTTATTTATTTTATATAAAGTAGTAATTACTTTATAAGCTATTTTTTCTTTATAAAAAGTATGCTGTGTATATATTTTTATATTTAAAAGTAAGTTAATACTAAAACAGATTATATAACGCAGTAAAAGAATTTAGTATAAAATTACAATTTAAGTGCTATACCTAGTATTCTAATACAGTATTAAAGCAGTAAAATTTACACAATACTAGACTAGCTAAATAAATATTAAAAAACTTTTAATAATTGCTATTAGCAGACCTATTATATTATTATTTAAGAATTGTAGTAATATAACTATTAATTTTTAATAATAACTAACTTGTTTAGGCAATATTAGGCAGATTAAATTAAACTAAAATAAAGCATTTAGTTAAGTTCTTAAGCTAATATTAAAAGCTTAGTTTAGTAGTAAGCTTGCGCTTTAATTAATATTTTCTTAAATAAAAATAAAAAACTTAATTAGTAACAGTATATAAAATATTAATTAAAATTCTAGTTTAGCAAGTTAGCTTACAAGAAAATATTAAAATTATAAACTATAGTTTTTAATAAGTTGCAATAGTTAATAGTTAATAATTTTTTGTTTTTTTTTAGAAGCCTAAGCTGCTATTGCAGCTATACAATTGTAGTTAAATTCGAATATTATAGTTTATTAAGGAAAAGCTTCTACAGCTCTAAAAACTTTAATAATTTAGTTAATTATATAGCTAAGTTTAATAATTGTTTAATTAAATCTAAATTATATCTAAGTTATACCTAAGTTATATCTAAATTATATGCAGTAAACTAAGTTTAAATCCTGCAGTTTCTAATAATAAAAGCTGTATTTTTCTTTTTTTTTGCCAAATTTAGTTACCTACTTAGGTAAAAATTTAAATTTTTGCAGCTTAACTTTTTGTAACTAACTTTAAAGGGCTTTTTTGCCTTTGCTGTAGCTATTAATTAGTTAATAGTTAAAAGTAGAGAATTGCAGGTAGTAGTTTTAAATATATAATATATATATAAAAAAATACTTTCCTTTTATGCAATTAGCTTTTTATAGTAAGCTATACTAACTACTAATTAATAAAATATAAGCTTTACTAACAAAGTCTATATAATATTTATTAATAATTTCTTTAACGCTGCCTTTTATTTTATTTTATTTTTAGTATTTGCAATAAAATTTAAACTTTAAAATACTATTATATATAAAACTAGTATATTAAACTAGTATAAGTAAGTGTCTAAGTACTCTAATAAGTTTAAATAAATTTTTTAAAATTTAAATACTAGGCTTTTTAGCATGCTAAAGCACTTAATACTTAATTATTTTTTTTTTTAAAAATTTAAACTTTTTTAACTAAAAAGAGCTTCGCTAAAAAAAGCTAGATATATTAGCTATATTTATTATAAGCTGCTAAATATAAATATTTTACTATATTCTAACTACTTTTTAAAAAGTATTTATTACTAATTAGTAAAATAAATTTAAAGTTTTTTATATAGCTTTTTAATATAGTAAAGAGCTTATTTAAAAACTATACTAGAAAGTGTTTTTAACCTGCTGTAGTAACTAGAAATTTAATAACTAGAAATAATAGCTTTTTATAGCTACAGAAATTATATAAATATTTAAATAAAAAATACTTTAAAAGGCAGGAGTAAGCAATTAAGCTAGGCAATAAAAGGGAAAAATAGCACTAAAAAAAAAAATAATAAAAAAGCAGTTAAGTGTTAAGCTAGTATTGCAGGAAAAATTATTATTTGTATTATTATTACTATTATTACTTAAAAGCCTAGTATTAGTTAGTTGCTTAGTAGCAGTTTAATATTATACTAAATATTTAAATATATACTTAAAAAATTATTAAAAAAGCTAAGCTTTAGCATTTAAAGTTATATTAAGAGTTAAAAGTTTATTACTTAATAATTTTAAAAATAAAAGTATATAATATATAGTAAAACTACTAATAGTATAAACTATTAATAATATATTAGGTCCTGTTTTTGCAGGATAAAATAAGTAAATATTCTATTTAGCGCAAAATTCTTAAAACTTAATATCTATTAAGTTTTCTTCTACTTTAATTAAAGTTACTTACTAATAAAACTTCTTTTTTTACCCTATATATGTTATGCTAAAAGCTCTAGCTAGTTTTTCTAATAGAATAGCTATGCTAATAGATAGCAAGTTTTATATTAATTTATTTTATCTGCAGTTAAGTATAAAATATTTCTATAAATAAAAGTAAAGTTGACGCTAAAAGCAGATTATACAACGCAGTAAGAGAATTTAGTATAAAATTATAGTTTAGGTGCTATACCTAGCACCTTAACATAGTATTAAAATAGTAAAGTTTATACAATACTAGGCTAGCTAAATAGATTATTAAGAAACTTTTAACAATTGCTATTAGCAGACCTAATATATTATTATTTAAAAATTATAATAATGTAACTATTAATTCTTAATAGTAACTAACTTATTTAGGCAATACTAGGCAGGTTAAATTAAATTAAAATAGGGCGTTTAGTTAGGTTTGCAGACTATTATTATTAAACTATAAATAAATTCTTAGCCTAAAATTAAAAGCTTAGTATAGTAGTAAGCTTGCGCTTTAACTAATATTTTTTTAAATAAAAATAAGCAACTTAATTAGTAATAGTACGCAGGGTATTAATTAAAGCTTTAGTTTAGTAAGTTAGCTTAAAATTATAAACTATAGTTTTTAATAAGTTATAATAGTTAAAAGTAAAAAGCTATAAGTAGTAGTTCCAAATATATAATATATATATAAAAGGACGCCTTTTTTTTATATAATTATTTGCCTGTACTTTTGCAGTAAGCTATATTAATTACTAATAATTATATAAAGCTTACTAATAAAATTTATATAACGCTTATTAAAGATTTTTTTAAACCCGCCCTGCGCTCTATTATTTTATTAGTATATACAAAATTTTAATACTAAAATAGCTTTTTGTACAAAACTAGCATTTTAAACTAGTATTAGTAAATATTTAAATATTCTAACAAGCTTAAACAGACTTTTTAAAGCCTAAATACTAGGCTTTTTTGCATACTAAAGCACTTTACGCTTAATTATATTTTTTTTAAAAAATTTATTAGCTTAAATAAGCTTTATTAAAAAACTTTAAACGTATTAGCTATATTTATTATTAACTACTAAATATAATTTTTTTACTGCAGTTTAATAGCTTTTTAAAAAATATTTATTACTAATTAGTAAGATAAATTTAAAAGGCTTTATATAGCTTTTTAATAAAAAAAGTATATTTAAAAACTATATTAGAAAATATTTTTGCGCTACTATAGTTACTAGCAATTTAATAATTAAAAGTAGTAGTTTTTTATAGCTATAGAAATTATATAAATACTTAGGTAAAATAAATACTTTAGAAAGTTAAAAAAGCAAGCAATTAATTCAAGTAATAAAAAAAAAATAGCGCTAATAAAAAAAAAAGCAAAGAAGCAGTTAAGTATTAAAGCTAATATTATAAAAAAAATTATTATTAGTATTAGTATTAGCATTACTATTATTGCTTAAAAGCCTAGTATTAGTTAGCTACTTAGCAGTTTAATATTATACTAGATATTTAGATATATGCTTAAAAACTATTAAAAAAGCTAAGTTTTAGTAGTTAAAGTTATATTATTAAAAATTAAAAGTTTATTATTTAGTAATTTTAAAAATAAAAGTATGTAATACATAGTAAAAAATACTAATAATATAAACTATTAATAACACATTAAGTCCTGTTTTTGCGGGATATTTTTATAGTATTAGAAAGCTACTTAAAGCTTATTAAGTACTTTAGCTAATATAAGTATAGTCTTAGGTTTTAATTTAAAGTTAATAGTAATATCTGCAATTATTTTTCTAAAATAGACTTTAATTTTATTCTTTTTTAGTAATAAGAGAAATAGGTACAACAAGTAGCAGAAAGCATTGCATTTATCTACTTAAAAAACATTATCTATTGCAATATTTATCTAAATAACTTTTTTCTCAACAATTAGCTTAACTTTAGACTCTGCAACTTTGCTAGCTCCCTATTTAGTAAGCTAGATAAAAAAGTAATAGAGAATACACTTTTCTTTCTTTTAAAAAATTTCCTATTTATACTAAATACAAAATACGATCTTTTTGCATTAGGATCTGTTATATATTATATTATAGCTAGCTATAAGCTGTACAATAGCCTGTTGGAGGATAAAATTACCTCTTGCTTTACTAGAGGAAAGTTTCTAGATATAGATAAGTTTAATTGTAGCCGAAGTATTAGTAAATATTAGACCGGGAAATTTATAAGTAGTTAAGATGTGGTATTGAGTCTCTTAGCAGATGCTATAGGGTAAATTTCAGTAGGATATTACGGATGAGATGTAGCGGATTTCACCTTAATCTAATATTGTTCTTTGATGCAAATGCGCTATTGAGTTTCATGGTCCCGCGGGTGCCTTGCCCCATCCCTACACTCGGTATACTTTCCATCCTTACCCCGCGCTCGCGCTACACCTTCCGCACTCAACAGCCGGCCAATTCCCGCCTTCCTTGAAGTAGTAAGCCGACGTGCATTATTTCCGCACTTGTAACTGCAACATCACAACCTCCGTCATAATGTTCTTATTTTGCTGCACAATGCACGCTTCATTGCCCCTACCAAGGCAGCTTGGCTCGCCTGATGCTCTTCGGATACGGGGTAACGAATCATCGTTACTGCTGTGGGTCGAAGTGGGTCGCTATCATCTGGGGTACGGGGAATGACCCCAATCCTTGAAACCTGGGGAAAATCTATGCTTAAGGCCATGGGGGTGCCTGAAGAGATGGGATATCGATAGGCGAAGATGGCCCGAGGTTTTCATTGTGAAATCCGTATAAGAAGCTGTTGGTCGCCGCGATGATCGACAAACGTCGAACTTTGGTACTCTTACTGAAGTGAAACTTCCACTGAAGTTCTCTTGATTCACCACCTTGTTGCAGAGTAACTCGACGGTGCATTTTTCCTTTCACTTATTTAACGACATCTCAAACTCTGGGAACATACCGGACACGAGCAACCATGACCCGAAAATATCTTGGAGGCTCTGGCGAGCGGCTGACTGTATGGATATCTATCGCAGCCAGCACTGTGTTGATGCATGTATCTCCCAAAAATACCGAATGACCCATAAGCTAACATGCCTTCAGCTTCTACGGGTACGACCAAGGCGTGTTTGGCAATGTCATCATCTCAGAAAACTTCCTACATACCTTCGGGTACCCGTCTGCGAATATGAAAGGTGTAATGACCTCAATCTACAATATCGGCTGCTTCATTGGCGCCATGAGCACCATCTGGACAGGCGATATCCTTGGGCGGCCTCGTCAGATTATGTTAGGCTCCACGGTCATTGGCATAGGAGCTATCATTCAAACCTGCAGCTGGACCGTCCCTAGCATGATGGTAGGGCGCATTGTTGCCGGTCTCGGAACTGGCATGAATACGGCAACAGCTGGCGTTTGGCAAGCAGAGACGAGTAAGATGAATAGCAGAGGAAAACTTGTCATTATCCAGATGGGTGAGTTTAAACTCCAACAATTCACCTAAGTGGGTAGTACTGACCGCATATACAGCTAACTGCATTACCGGCTTCAGCATCTCGAACTGGCTCACTCTTGGCTTTTCTTTTGCACCCCGCGATGTAGCATGGCGCTTCCCATTGGCATTCCAACTATTCTTCACATTCTGTATCTACGCCATGTGTCCGTTCTTGCCGGACTCGCCGCGTCTTCTCATCCGCAAAGGCAAGCACGACGAGGCATTAGAGGTCCTCGCCGCACTTGAGGGCCACGGAGCGACACCCGAATCACCGGCTGTTGTCACGCAGTACAATATCATCAAAGACATCCTCGACCGCGAGCATATGAATACCTACACATGGTGGCAACTATTGAGCGGTAAAGGGCCAGCCGGCGTTCTACGGCGCATGATCTTGGGCGCCTGGATGCAGGCTATGAATCAGATCTCGGGGATAAATGTTACAAGTTACTTCATGAGCTATATCTTTATAAACTCTCTCGGCATTTCTGAGCTCCTGGCCCGTATTCTGGCAGCTGCTGGCTCCGTCGACTACTTGATTTTCGCCTGTTTGGCATACTTTGTCATTGAACGGTATGGCCGAAGAAAAGTCATGATGGTGTCGTCTGCAGCGTGCTCTATTTGCTGGATCGTCATCGCAGCTTCCCAAGGCCAGTCTGAGAAAGGGGGCGACTCTTACAAGCTCGGCATCGTCGCCGTCTCGTTCTTCTTCATTTTCTTTGCTAGCTTTGGCATGGGAGTGCTTGGTGTACCATGGTTGTATCCCACCGAGTAAGTATACTCCATCGCGATCTTTCAACTTTTGCTGACAAGTGTCAGGATCAACGCCCTGGAAATGCGAACCAAAGGTGCTTCCCTCGCCATGAGCACAAACTGGATCTGTAATTATGCTGTCGTCCAAGCTACGCTCCCTGGCATTGAAAAACTAAAATACAAGTTCTGGATCATCTGGGCGGTGATTTGCTTCTCCTTCATCCCGATTACGTATTTCTTCTATCCCGAGACCGCGAATCGGACACTAGAAGACATTGATCGGTTTTTCGAAGGGGGGCCTGGTCTTTTTATTCATCGCGACAAGTTGGCCGTGCAACTGCATCGTCCAGCTGAGTTCATTGAGGCTGATGCACGAATTGCAGCTCGTGAAGAGGCTAAGTTTGGTGAAGGCAGGAAGAGTATCAGCACGGAGTACGTTGAGACAAAAGACGTGGTATGAAGAAAGTGATCTGAAGGAGACAGCAGATTCAAATGGCTATCGCATTTTACATTGTACTATGGCTCGTTGGCGTAACCGTCAATGAAGTTGACAGTTAGCGTATTTCGGTTTTCCTTTTGCAGCGTCTCGCGGCCAATTTCAAGGAGCTTAGAGACGTCCTGTCGACAATCTAGACAATATCAGTTGAGCCTAGTAAAGTGGTGACAAGAGATAGTAGCATACCGATATAAAATCCTCGCAGCTCTTTTCCTCTCCCGGTCGCCAAATAGGCGCAAGTCTGGCCACAGAGCGCTGGTGTATCTTTGAACAAGTCTTTGTAAAACTCTTCATCAGTGATATCCCCGTATTTCTCCTTCACATCTTCCGCCGCACCAGCTACGGGCTTCTTAGCATATCTTCCTTTGTTCTGGGGTTAATGAATACATACAGCCGCCCATCGCAGAAAGAACACCTCCGGGATGTAGTGCATACATATGGATCCCGGGATCCAGCCCATCAAGCTCTATCTCTTTCTGTAGCGTATGTGTAGCACGGATCAACGCTGCTTTCGAGGTCACGTACCCCAATGTCATGGGTACGTCGACGGTGCCAGAGCGTGAAGCAATGTTTATTATGCATCCATGACCACGGGAGCGCATAAGAGGGAGGACATTATGCACTAGCATTAGAGGCTGCAGAAGGGTTAGCAAATGGCGGTGGTGATTACGACAGGGTGCCACAGGGTTGCAGTGGTGCAAGGGTTAGTTACAGCTTTGAAGTTGACTTCGATTTGCCGCCAGAAGGAGGAGAAGGTTGACATGATGAATGGTCTTTGGTCAAGCACACCGGCGTTGTTGACCAGTATTCTACACATGTCAACAGGCTATAGCTCATATCTATCGATTCAAGCCAACTTACTCAATCGGGCCCAATTGCTTCTCCACCTTATCAAATACCTCTTTCAATCGCGCCTCGTCCGTGACATCGCATTCGAAAGTTTCAACTTTGACATTATGTGTCAGGCATTCTTTCTTCGTGTCTGCCAAGTTCGCAATATTGAGATCCAAGATCGCAATGTCGGCACCAGATTTTGCTAGCGATGCAGCAATTGCAGCACCAATACCTCGGCCTGCTCCTGTAATAACCGCAACCTTGCCTGCGTTAGTACCCTGAAGCATCTCGATGGAGATGGGTCCGTAAGGGGCATGTTGGAGCGGACGTGTGCTCAAGCCGAATTGTGCGGGGTCCATGATTGCGATAAATTTGGCCAAATTAAGTTTTCTGTTTCAATCGTTGTCGTGTTCCTCCTTTTAAATCTTGACCGATCAATTGAACTGCGCTGAGCTAGCGTTTAGAAATGCAGTATGCGGGGTGAGTTGGGGTAGCTCCAGCCCCACATAGACCTTGTGGGGAGGAACACAGCGCTGAAAGATCACAAGTTCACCATGAGAATCAATTGGCATTCCGTTTGGGAAAGATTCTATTGGAAGTTATTTAATTTAATGTTTTTTGGTAATAGATAGATGTATGGTCAATTGTGGAACTCAATTTCTACTTGACGCATCCGGCCTGCGCAAACGCTTTCACAACACCTTTCCCTTGCACCAAATCTATGCGACGAGATGTATATGCAGCCATCGACCCAAAATTCCTGAGCTTAAGTCCAAAGGAAAGATCGTTCTGATCACCAGTGCTAATGGTGAGATCGGAGGAATGAGCTTTCCACAAGTACATCCTCTTTGCATCGGAACAATTATTCTCCAAAAGGAAGTTGCACGTACCTGGGCCACCGCTGGTGCGAAACTCATTGCACTTATCGCGCGCAGTAAAATCCTTCTGGATGAGCCCTCACAAGCCTTCACAAGCCATCAAATCCATTAGCTCTTCTACTCAGATATTGGCGCTAGCAACCGACCTTACGTCCGAAATCGGAGTCGCAGCCATTTTCAATCAAGAAATGGACGCGCACAGGAAGAAACTGTGAAGAAGACGTTGCTCGAGCTTGCTTTTCTGGGTGCGAACCTTGGTCCGGACGGTCATCCTTGGTCACCGTAAATGCCCATATTAGTTGTCGAACTCAAGGCGACTAAAGAGGGGTTGAGTTGAGATCCCTTAGTGTCTATTAGATTGCTAGCTTTTTAATCTACTACTATAGGCAGTAGTATTACTATTACGTAGCTAGACTTCGTTCTATAGTTGTATATCCAACTATCGCGGTACTATACTATTTATTATAGTATAATACTACTTTTATAAATCTACTAAGAGTTCTTTGAGCTTTATAATTTATTCTTCTCTCTCTAGCATAATATGTTACAAGGCTTTTGCTGTCTCATGCTCAACGCACTCCATACTCTCCAAAACCATTCACTTACCCCCGATATCCGTCACTTAGTGTTGCAATATTAGGTTACGGTGCAGCCCATCTTTATGATATCTCACCAACGTATGGTGACTAACACCACTCCTCCTTCCAGATCCAGAAGTGGCCTTCAACTTCAGAGGAATTCAATTGCTTGCATACACCGATAATTCCAAATGGGGTCATGTGACCAGACCACTTCCAGACCAAGCGCCGCAACATATTCCGCTTTACTATGTGTACCCTCCCGTCTTCTAAAATAAAACCCCAGAGCAAGAAATATCCAAGGTAATCAATGCCTCGACTTTGCCAATCAATGACTACTTTGGCTTCCGATTTTGCTGCCTCCTCTTCAGTTGGTAAACGAGCAGCGATGTTCATGTGGCGCATAATGGGGTCGAACTGCCTACCATGAGAACCCGTATGATCGATATAAGCTCCCCTCCATCGTCCGGAGAGAAATGTGGGTTTGGTCATTTCGCGTATATGACATGTATTGAAAGTCTCAGCGGTATTATACAACGCTGCCGGTATATCCATAAAGGTGTGGAATGGTATCTTTGCTGGCATTGGAAGTTGTGCTACTATATGTATCGTCCCGCGGAATCGGGTAACCATCAGGATGATGATGAATGGGAGCAATGCCATAGCCTGCGCTAGAGAGAGGTCGCGTTTGAATTTGCCGGGTACGCGATCGGCTAAATTTATTCTTGCTTGCCGAATGACTTCCTCGGCATCACTCCGTGCACTTATAGATTCTTCCTCCATCTTAATGCGATCGGAAGGGTGCTGAAATGAAAGGATAACATGCATAAGCTCCTTTTGTTCCCTGGCAGTTCTGAACCGCTGAAGAGTTGTATAACTCAAGATGAAGCTAGCGTTGATGAATTCCGCCGTGTGTTGTCTGACTCTGTGCGCTTTATCTTCAGAGTCCCATCGCGACCAAGATAGCATACGTTTCGTCGAGTAAGAGCGGAGGAATATGGAAACAGGGACGCTCAGCTCGCCTTGGACCCGAAAAAAAGTAGCAGGATCAAGGTCGCATCCCGCAGGATGATTTAGAGCCAACATGTGAGGCAGCCAGTCGCTGATATCGAGCAATGTAGTTCCCTTCCGAATCTTGAGCGTCCATTCAGGGTCCTTCTTACATAATGCAGCAACGCATTGTTCGACTGCGTAGGCAACACGTATAGTCTTCGCCAGAGATAACTCTTGTAGGAATTGATCACCCTCGGGCCATGCCAGCTGCCCCGAGCACACGTTTGATCTGTTGGTACGAGAAGATATCTTGTGCAAGTGTTTGGTTGCTTCGGAGTCCTGCTTCAGTGTGTTTTTGGCAACGAATTGATATACAAGGCGGTCATTGCAGGCTTCATGTAGCCGCCGATTAACTCGTATAAATTTGAGGATGGCGGAGCACGGGAGATAGCAGGCGATGTTTTGAAGTAGCTCGTTCGGGAGAGTCAGAAGCGACGTCATGACCTGGTAATCCAAGTAATAGTAAGAGCTCCGAGTAATCTCGAATGAAGAGAGGACTGGGGCTCGGGATAAGATGAAGTGGGTAACAAGGCTGTGATGTGACGTGGCAGAGTCTCGCTTATGTAAGAGATAGCGATGGGTACCGGTACCCCGCCTTTTGTGAGACCCTACGAAAATCGATTCAGCGACACGGAAATATTACTTCAGGTGGTTCTTCCTAACTACCACCTAAGGCGAATTGACCCTACCACAAATATACAAGAAGCTCTACTTGTGAAGAGCAAAGCGCGGCGTAGGATTATTATCAAACACCGAGGGATCAGCAACTTTTTGCGTCGCGGTACGTACCGTACCGTTTATTGTGTTGCAACACCGCGTTTACGATTTGCAGAGAGCTCTCTGAGCTTTACAACTTTTTTATTCTCAGCAAAACAGACTGATCGGTTACGTATGCACGCGATCGTTTGGAAAATCACGAAAGTAGTTCGAAGTACTCTGCGATACCAGAAGATTGGGGCATCCATTAGTGACTTAAGCACAACAAACTGCCTACACTCTCGACCCCTTTTCTTATACTACTCGCAATTACTATCATTGCTCATCCCACTCTGTCAATCCCACGTCATTCAGTCTAGGGGCTTGTAGCACCAACGCCCCAGTTCTTTTCTCGATAGCTATAATATATAGCATTTCCAGAGTCAACCTCGAACAGGAACTTCGCAGCCGCGTACGAGTGAACCGGAGCTATCCATGCTGAGGTATCTCAAGCAATATTGATACCCACCGCCAATCAGTCTTTCTCACGGAATCTAAGAACCGTTTACTGTGGACGTTGGCAACGCTTTGCTCAGTCTCCGAGCATTGCCCTAGGTAGGTTAAAGCTGGAACCTTTTTCTATTATATACGCTAATGTTTTAAGCGTATTGATGCCAAGCTGTTAGTGACGGCTCAGCGTCCAATGTCAACACACGCGAATCCTTCAGCTATTCATATAGTGGTACACTAACACGCGAGCTGCCCACGTGTCATCAACCTAGTACTAGCTAGCGTATCATCGTCAGGTTGGGGTTCGCTAAACACCTGCCGTTTTCAGTAATGTGAAGAGCTGGGGCCTGCCCGAAGCGCGAGGGTCGACGGAAGCTTCGTGTTCCTGCGTTGAACTTGCAAGTAACAGTGGAATAGACACCGGTGGAGCTGGTTTAAATCGTATGCAATACTGTTAGTCTTTTTTGAGCTTGACTCAAAAGAGCCTAGACTGGACTATTTCTTCGTCGCAAATGCTATAACACTATGCGCTTCTCAAAACAATCGCTCTCACGTGAGCGAGCCGAAAGCGTCTGGTTGGGAGCTATGATGGAGCATGATGTGGATTTAGAAGGGGCGTGAAAAGCAATTACCGGAAAACTGGCCTGCGAAAGGTTAGGACGAGGAATGGAGGTTAGAAGGACACTAGATCCCGCAAAGCGCGAAGAGTTTGGCATCCAAAACCAAACGTTGTACATTGACAGAACTAGTGCCTAGGCAAGATACATTTCCTCGGGTATCTATTCGCTTAACAAAGGCACCTGATTGGCATGAGAAATGGAGACTATTCTATTCCTTTGTCCAACCCGGCCGCCAAAGAAGGGCCCAGCAGTACGGGTACTGGGACCATCCGGTTGTCAAAATACGCGTTCGCTCGATGGGAAAGTAAAGTACCAGTACGTACATGTAACTGCTTCCTCCTTTCCTTCACTTTGTCATCATTTTTCAAAAACTGTTCTCCACCCCCTGAATAATTTACACTAGACTGCTTGACCTTGCTGATGAAAGCATGCAAATCACGTAAAAAAGGTCGCCGGACTTGCCGTACAGCTCAGGGCAAGCTACGTCGACTACAACAAGGCCTCATTGTCGTTCAATCCTACGGTTCTCATTTGGTTCATACAACGCCAGATGGTGTTTTAGGGTATCCTATGAATCTTAAGCCCGAGGAGCCACATCCAACTCCTCTGACACATTCTGACGAACGAAACAACCCCCTCAATCATTCGACACCTCTCCTTAATCACCATCCTCCGATGGCCCTCGACCCAGGCACGGACTTCGATCAGCTATCTGAATCAATAACGCGCTTCCACCTAGACGTTGAAACGTTCCAAGGGGGAAGAACAACACACTCTCCTTTTTTAAAATTACCAAGAGAGCTCAGGAATATAGTGTACGATTTCGCCTTTGGAACGCGAGAGTATGAACTCTGTCAACACAATAGTCGCCTAACACTTCACTATGGCCAAGCTCCAGTGCGAATCGGACTCCCAGCGTGGCTAATGACGTGCAAGACGATCAAAAAAGAAGGCCTTGACCAGCTGTATCAGAATGGAATCTTTTATTTGCCATATCGATCTTTTCGATCATGTAGTGAACTATCGTCTCCAATGGCACTGATACGACTCGACCAAGTCAGACTTCTTGCTACATCCTGGCGCCGAAAGATCACAATTCCCACGACAGGTCTCCCCGGAGTACGATGCTACCCTGTGGATTACGACACAGAATCCTTCAAGCGCTTGTTAAGGATGTTGCCCGCGCTGTCGGGCTTCAGGGTCAACTTTATCGACGAAGCTTCATTCCCTTTCCCATTCTCCCAAGGATACAGCACGATTAGGGTTTCATTTCCACAGGTTGCTGCACCAGGTCTGAGTAAGATGGAGTTTATATACCAGGAGGCGGTACTGAGTGCCGGCTGGTTACCGTTCAACAAGGCTATCTCTGAAGCTATAGGAGCGGCGTGCATGACCGGAGAGGTCATAGTGCGTATTCATTCCCAAAGTACGCCCCATTATTTGTCACCAAACCTGCGTTTCCAGTTTAATCGGGTCGAAGTGAGGAAGAAAGGCAAGAAAAACGCGACAGACGCACAGGGTGTACAGGATGGAGTTGGAGAGTACGTCGAGACGTTCCTGCCTGTAGAAAGTTGGCGGGCCATAGCGTAAAATTTAAGTTTAGCATTGTTAATTTACAGTTCTTGGCTTTTTCAACCGCTTTTCGATTTGCCCGGAGCGATAATCGTGCTCGGTAGGTCGGTAGCCGACGCTTTGACCTTGACAGGTGATTTATGGAAGTGTGAGGTGGTACCACGGAAGAGAATTTTAGATAACTAGCTATTGGGAGCCTTTACCGCGACATTTATGCATGGATATTACTTGCGGACTACAGCATCGCACAACTAACGCAGCACAAAGATGCTTGGAATTACTTGACAATTTGCTCGAGGTCGAAGTCATCCTCTTCACTACACGAGGGGGAATCGTTAAGTAAGATACCAAAGGGTTACCACTTATACTACTAAGAATTCATTTTCTCTCATTTCCTTCGGCGATGGCGTTCGGCCGGCCAATATCAGCTGCGGTCTCTTCTAAATTAGTAGTAACCAGTCATTCATTTGGTACGGACCATATCATCGTGCCGCGTGACCGTCTTGAACAGTGTAGGTCGACTTTCTCACCCCGAAGGTCTCTGAGGCTATGTAGGCTACCGCGACTCAATTAACCCTGGGTTTGAATTTTGAAAGTAACTGTAGTGCTAAGCCAACTAGCGATAGCTCAACTAGTGCGTAGGCACTTTTAAAATCTTCTCTTGTAGTGCTAAGCCTGGATACTAAGGAAGTAACGTTCGCCAAGCACCTCGACCACGGCGTGCACCGACGAAGGCTATCCTTATAAAGGACAGTGAAAATATATCTAGCCGATGAAAGCCGCTCGAATGACTGCCAAGGTATTAATGATTGGAGATGTATAACTCGCGGACTTGCGTGCTTCTCACGCGCAATCACGTTTTGCGCTAGTATCATGCACTATGCCCGATCCGGAGCAGTTTCCGTGATCCAGATTTTCATCACGACATCAATGCCATGCGAATTCAACAGGCAGGACGGTCTTTCGGGCTTATATTGAGTAATAACTTGTCCTTCAGGATCGTATTCGCTATTGGCACGTCATCGGCACGACCGAAAAATTCGCCATAATGGCGTCTATGGTCGCACTCTGACCACACCTCACCCTTGGATCACAAGAGGCAGGTCCCTAAGTTGGCTGACGGCGTGGGTTTCGTATAAGACGGTCTATAACCTAGTGCTTGAGGATCAAAATCTCCACCTACAGTAGGGGTTCTCTTCTCCACCTCTACCATGTCGAAGTTCTTCTCCTCGAAGCACGGAGTCACATCGGCGACGACATCTAACGACACCAAGGAGAACGAAGTACCACAAACAGATATTGACAATGGCTCTCTCTACCATGTTCGCCAGGCCAAGCGCCAGATCGGTGTCACTTCCGCCGTCTTCCTGATCTTTAACCGCATGATCGGCACTGGCATCTTTGCTACACCCAGCGCCATCTTCACCCTCTCCGGCAGTGTCGGCCTCTCTCTCTTCATATGGGTTGCGGGCATGCTCATCGCCGCCGCCGGTATGGCCGTCTACCTCGAGTTCGGCACGGCTATCCCTCGCAATGGTGGTGAAAAGAACTATCTCGAGTTCGTCTATCGCAAGCCCAAGTTCCTGGCTACCGGCCTATACACTGGATACGTCGTCCTCCTTGGCTGGGCTGGATCCAACTCTGTCGTCTTCGGAGAGTACATCCTACACGCTGCGAATGTTGAAGTCAACCGCTGGAACCAGAGAGGCGTCGGCCTCGCTTGTATCACCACTGCTTTTCTCATCCACGGTCTGGCTCTGAAGTGGGGACTAAGACTGCAGAACCTCCTCGGGATAATCAAGCTGCTGATCATTCTCCTCATCGTCGTATCCGGCTGGGCAGCATTGGGAGGCGCGCTCAAGATCGATAAGCCACACAACTTCGATAATGCCTTCAAAGGCACGACGGGTAGCGCGTACGGAGTCGTCACGGCCCTATACAATGTCATCTGGAGTTATATCGGCTACAGCAACGCCAACTACGCTCTGAGCGAAACAAAGAATCCCGTGCGCACATTGAAACTTGCTGCACCGTTAGCTCTCGGTTCGGTCGCGGTCCTCTACATGTTCGTGAACGTCGCCTACTTTGCCGCTGTACCCGCCGAGGAGATCAAGGCTGCGAAGCGCCTCGTGGCTGCTTCTTTGTTTCGCAATGTTTTCGGACCAAAGGCTGAACGCGCGCTGTCCGTCTTCGTTGCTCTCTCCGCCTTTGGTAATGTCCTCAGTGTCATTTTCTCCCAGGGTCGCCTGGTGCAAGAGCTTGGTCGCGAAGGCATCCTCCCATTCTCGCGTCTATGGGCCAGCAACCGTCCTTTCAATGCGCCGCTTGCCGGTCTCTTCGAGCATTGGCTCGTCTCGGTCATCCTCATGTTGGCGCCTCCGCCAGGTGACGCGTACAACTTCATGGTCAAGTAAGTTTGATGACATCAAATTGTAATTCCTCAATATGCTAATATGGGAACAGTGTCATTTCTTACCCTCTGGCCATTGTGAACGTTTTCGTCGCCGGCGCTCTTATCCATCTCTACCTCAATCGCAGCAAGTGGAACTGGAACCCGCCGATCCGTGCGTCTCTGCCAGTTGCAATCTTCTTCCTACTCAGCAACATCTACCTCGTCGTTGCGCCTTTCGTGCCACCAAGCAACGGAAACAGCGTCTACGAGTCCTTGCCATACTACCTCCACTGCGTCGTCGGTTTTGGTATCATTGCTGCTGGTGGCGTTTACTGGTTGATCTGGGCCAAGATCTTGCCAAAGATCGGCCGTTACACACTTGTGAGGGAGGAAGTGGTTGATGAAATTGATGGCTGGGAGAGGCACATCTTCAGACGCGTACCAAACGTGAAGTCAACCTAATTTGTAACGGCCATGTATAAGATAGCGTAAAACATTTCAATGGGAACAACCCTCCGTTCGAACAATTCACTCGATTATCCACTCTTCTCCCCGTGTATAGTCAGCCGCATCAACTACAGAACAAATTCGGCCCATCCGACCTACAAGTCGTAGTCTGCGTATCAGCAATCTTCGTCCATGTACCCTTCACCTTCTTGATCCCCCCAACAAAATAATCGTTATGCGCAAACGTATACCCATCTACATCCACATCCTCGCTGCACCCGCCCTTATTCTTTCCAGCCGCCAGGGGAGTTTGCGTGCAAGCCACGGTACGCTGGTAAGTGTTCCAGGGCAGTGTATCGTACCAGTTGTGAAACTTGCAGCGACCAACGTGTGCGTTGCAGTTTGTTGAAGGGTTGGTCGTGTACAGCATTGCTTTGCTGGATTTGTTTTCTACGCGGCCGCAGGGGACTTTATAGAATTAGTTGAACCTTGTTTTTAAAGAACAAGGACTTGGTGGGGAGGGTTGCATACAGGGACAGCCGCGACAGGAGCCGCTAAGGACTGGGCCTGGTAAGAGTGCAGCGAGGAGGAGGAGGGAGGCTGTGTTGATTGGGAGCTTCATTATCGTGGAAGTAGATGGATAGATGCTTGTTGAACTTGTAGCTGATTAGGTTCCGAACGAGAAGAACCTCTCAACAAGTCAGAGACCGAATCGGTCGCTACTTATACTTAAATTCCAGCATGTTTTCTACAGCTTTCCTCCTCGAAGCTGAATGCTCGCATTCACGATGTTCTATACGAAGGAGTTCCTCGGCGAACTATTTGCGGGGTACCACGCGACTACGGGCATTAAACTACTTGAAGAAAATGGCCCGGGGTAGAACCATGTTGAATCTAATGGGTGGATACCGTGTTTTCACAAGCGAGATTTAGGTGCAGGTACGGAGCAGTTATTGGGTTGCTGTTTCCGCCCCCAAAAGAAGTTACATGGAGCGTTCTAATTTAGGTGCACCGCTAAACAAAGACATGAGTTTTGAGGGATGTGGGAACGCCGATATTTGAATGGACTTGTATTTTTATCATATCCTTAGCGACGTACACTCATACTAGAGTGGTATTGTGCAATGCCTTGCATTGATTCCTATGTATTTCTCCAGGTGATGTCAGGTATAGAATGTATACACATATCTACACATTGCTACTCCGCAAAATAGCCGTCTAATCACCTTACCTTCTTCAGCTTTGAGCAGTCGCCCACAAAGCGCCCAGGTATACATATCCAGCAATAACAACCATCATGATCATTTGTCGAACGCGGCTGGGACCTCCCGCTTCCACAAGCACCCAGATCGGTAACAGAATGAAAGGACAAACTGCCAAACCGGCAATGAACAATGCGCCAACTCGCTCAGGATATGAGGAGCAGAACAACATGATATCAGCTGGTCGAATAATGTGATTCTGCACCTCTGGGCAAGTCGCAGCCATGAGGTATCCGACGGAGCAGCTCGGGAGAGCGATGCGGACGTGCTGCTCTATAAAGGTGACGACATATGCAGTCGCGTTGTGAATAGCGCCAAAGAGAGGGTAGCGTGGCTCTGCCTTGACTGGAGTTATCGGCGCCATGTTCTGGAAGGCCTCCGAGGCTGCCTCGACAATTTCTTCTACTTTGACAACTGCTTTTTCAAGCGCTTGCTCGCAGGTGACAGTGGTTTCTTTCTCGCGTGCAATGAGTGCAGGCTCTCGAGCATCTGGCGGTTGGACGTAGAGAGGGCTTGCGACCACAAAGCTCTGCTCAAGGAAGCTATCCTCGTTGATAGACAACGAGTCATCTACAACATCCTCGGACACAGGAGTATTCTCGAACTCGTCGATGCCAGCGTGGATTATCAATCCTCGCGATAACTCTCCGAAACCACTGCCGTCTGCCTCCAGTAGCACACTGTCCGTTGAGTCCGGTGTCTCTTCGCCTGCAGTGGTACAGGTCTTTTCAGATGGAACGTCAGGCTGGGAAACTGACTCTTGTCCAAAGTTATTAGAGAAGTCAGTGTGGTTCTGGAGCTCGCTGGCCGAAGAAATATCTTCGCGGTCAATATTAGGATGTTCATAGTCGGCATCGAAGTCTGAAGTTGATGATGCGTAGCGGCCGTTGTCGAACGTGTTTGCCTGGCCACCTTTATCTTCGTCAAAATCGACTAGCTGGAAGGGCCCAAAGAGAGGCGCAAGCGAAGCACGCTTGATCCAGATTGGAGCAACATTGGCCCCAGGCTGATCTTGGGTAGCAAAGTCAAGTCCAATAACGTCATGGAGAAACACAGCAGCGCGATCCTGTCGCTGAAGCAGATCAGTCAACCTAGACTCCTCTCCCAGCGTCCGCTTTACGCCATGGCTACAATCTGGGTCATGGCGATAAGCCCAGCCATGCGGCATATCACACGTGAGACGAAGATTCTCGGTTGCAATCTGGATTTCTTCCTTGGTCAAGAAGCGCGATATGTGGAGGATCCAACCAGCCATGTGGTTGCCAGAGTTGCGAATGAAGGTGCGAGGGCCGACGAAGGGCGGCTTTGTTGAATTCGTCATCGGATATGAGGCATCGGGTGGGCCTATCATGGGGCAACGCTCTGCGGCACAAGGTGAAGTAGGGGCCATGGAGATTGTGGTAGACTCCTCCACATTCCCACGCTCAATGTTTAGATACCCAGACCAGAGCCAGAAGATTGCAAGCTCGGTAAGGTTGATCTCACTCCCACTCAGGTTCTTCGCTAGATGGAGCCATTTGTCTTTGTCTGGACCAAATGGATTCTGGATGGCGGTATGTGGGCCCAGGATTGGCGCCTTAGCTGAGCTGGTGATGAGATGCTGTTTCGTGAATGGCGCGGGGCCAATGTCGGCATCTTGGATGAAGCGATACTCGACGACAGGAAAGCGTGAGCTCGCTTCCATATCGTCAGATTCTGAGGTACTGTCGCTGCTATCTTGCTCAGAGACTTCACCATCAATAGATAGGATGTCTTCGTATCCTTCGTCCAATGAGTTTGAAGGCACGTCTTGATTGATAGAGTGGACAAAGACGTAGTCGGAATCAGCGCTACTATCGTTCTCAGAGGTCTCTTCAATCGTTGGCAAGCCATTATGAGGTTGTACGCTCCATGGGCCAGCGGCCAAGACTCCATTGACATTCACATGATCAACGTGAACGCTAGGCGAGTCGTCGAGGTTTGTCAGGGGTGAAAAAGCACGGGACCAAGGGCCAGGAAGGCGTGGTTTAGAAGGAGGCGACATGTCGAAAGACGTATTTGCCAGTGGCGTGAGGATTGGCTTGGTTGAGATGATGGATAAACTTGGCTGCTCAGTCGAGTCTGTGGGGTTGTGATTAGGTTTTCGGATGTGGGTATTGAGTGTTGTGGATCCGGACGATGGTGTTTTATGGGCATAGGAGGCAAATCTGGCATGCCTTTCACACACAGTGGTGCTAGCAAGCCTGCACTGGGTCACCCACATTCATTGAGCAAGCACAACCCAAATTGTTGCTTCACAATGTTCTTGAATCTGAGAGCCTCTCTTGATAAATTCCTCGCTGGAGCGAAAGATAACTCATCCACCGCCACAACTAAGAAACTTGTTGTAACAGTTGAAGAATATGCCATCCCTCACGAGCATTTCCATGTTGAAAAACTACTTTGGCACCCGTGGCCCAAGCCAAACTGGATCCTTACGCGACATGCATCACATCGTACCTTCAACTGCAGCTGAAGACCTGGATGTGCCCGATAATTCTCTAGTGGAGCCAACAGATGCAGAAATCAGTGGCTCGGACCAGACTAAGGTCGAGGATAGAGAGTGGACAAATGAACAGCTAATGGACGATGCAAGGCCAGGACGGCGCACAGGGAATAGCGAACAGGGCCTAGGGTGCAGATCATTGTGAGGGAACTGCAGAGACTGACTAGGGGGAATATGACGGATAGTAGAAACAGTCAATGAGAAATATGGCGAATCTGAGTTGAAATAGGACAGGCTGAATGAAATTGATGAGAAGCAAGAGTCTTCTCCACGTAACAAGGAAAGCGGTGAAACAGATAGAACCCAAGTTTCCTACCAGGTAAAGATGATCTTGTGCATAGTAATATCAACTCGTATATCTGACGTAGGTCCTGTCTTATCTTTGTACTCGTTATGGCTGGCTGGTGTTCGTGTCCGTATGTCGTGCAATTTGGTGAAGTAGCCACGCAGCAGCGTGTATCGACGCGTAGGGCGGACGTAGCGATATAGACAAACAACTGCGCCAGTCGAAATCTTTAATGTCTGGCGATCAATATGTACTTATTACCCACCAGATAGTTGCTGACAGCAGCCACGGCCGCCCATCATCTTCGTCATGACATCATCCCCGCTAGCCGACAGGCTAACCCCACACTATGCATCGATCGTCCCCCCATCCCAGACGGCACATCCTCACCATCAACGAACGAAACCACCACTCACCGCCATGCGTTTCGAAAAGCGAAGGCCAGCTGAACACGCAATGTCGCCGAAGCCCTCGGTAAGATGTCGAGTCTGTGGACGCCAGATGCCGTGATGGTGTGCTGGAGCAATTGCATATGCAGGGTTCACGCTAGATGGGCGTCTGGTTGGCCGCGCCGTCGTTGACGTTGCAGATGGCAGTGTAAGGGAGAGCGAGCGGACGTTGCTGCGAGACGTGGACAGCCTTTATGGAATGCGTAGTTGTACGACCGAAGAGCCGTGGTAAGCGGGTGGACGCGTGCCGTACGCCACTGTCGTCTGTCTTGCGGGGCGAAGGGGGGGATAATTGCTGCAAGACGTCACATATTGCTCGAGGTTTGTCCTTTTTTATTTTGGGAAGGAAGGCTAACTTCATTCCTCGGAGCTTGGACTGTTTGTCTTCATCGATTTGCTTTCTCATACTAACAAACGACCGTTCTCGTTATTCTTTTTCTCTGTTCCAGGTGCGTTTGTTGACGCGTCTGCTGGGTCTCGAGTATCCTCGATCCCTTGAGACGTCAATTTCCGTCTCAACACCTCCACGATGGCGCTCAAGAACCTCCTTCCCCTCCACAAAAAACACGCACCCACAGCCTCGGGCGAACCCAAGACTGGCCACCCCACAAAACAGCGCCAAAAGTCCTTCATCACGAATCGATGGCGCAACGAGCTGGTTGCTGCTGCTGCCGAGTTCGCTGGCACATTCATGTTCCTGTTCTTTGCGTTTGGAGGAACGTCCGTTGCAAACACCGCTGCTAAGTACAGCGATGCGGCAACAGCGGGTCAGGAGAGTGGCAGCATAACACAGGCGCCGAATACGAGTGTACTGCTATATATCAGTCTGGCGTTTGGGTTTAGCTTGATGGTCAATGTTTGGGTGTTCTTTCGGGTCAGTGGTGGGTTGTTCAATCCAGCTGTAAGTGTCTCCCGAACCACACGAAGGAATTCGGGAAATGGAGATGAGATGGGATGAGAAGCTAACAATGCTGAATAGGTCACGCTCGGCCTCTACCTCATCGGCGCTATTACAGCAACCCGTGCAGCCCTCTGCTTCGTCGCTCAAATGTTCGCTGGCATGTGCGCTGCTGCCGTGATCCAGGCCATCCTACCGGGCCCCCTCAACGTTTCGACAACCCTCGGTTTCGGCGTGTCTGCCGCGCGCGGCGTCTTCCTCGAAATGTTCCTCACATCACTCCTCGTCTTTACCATCTTCATGCTCGCGGCCGAGAAGCACAAAGCGACCTACCTCGCTCCCATCGGTATCGGCATGTCTCTCTTCGTAGCAGAACTCGTCGGCGTATTCTTCACGGGTGGAAGTTTGAATCCTGCACGGAGTTTTGGTCCGTGTGTGGTTACGCGGAACTTTCCTCACTACCATTATATCTACTGGTTTGGGCCACTGATGGGCACACTACTTGCGTATGGAATGTATAAGATTGTGAAGTTGGTCGAGTACCAGACGGTCAATCCGGGGCAGGACTTTGACGATCACGAGGCTGCGCTGTTCAAGCCTCCCGAGGACCCTGAGACCGCTGAGCAGGTCGAGCGTCCTAACGTCGCTGCTGCTGCTGTGGAAGAGGCTATTCGTATTGCTAGTAGGTCGTCGGGGTCGGGCGACAGTCCAGAGCATGGGTATGGCATCGAGCAAACCCTTTCTCGAGACCAGGAGCGGACAGGACACGCATCGCAAGTCAATGGTGTCAGGCAGTGAACTTGCCTTTCTTCTCGTATACAGTTGGCTGGGCGCCTTCAGGTAGCAAAACCGGTTCAATTTTAGGATTCAGTTCGGTCGCTGAAATGCTCCAGGTCCCTTCATGGTGCGCACAAACACAGCCTCATATCTCCTCCCTTGAGCAGCCCCCTTCGTGCATCTCCTAGCCTCGCTTCTGTCTTGTATACCAGGAACCACGCCAAGCAGTGTGCTATCAGTATTGCAAATGCGAAAAGGAATAGTAGAACCGCCAAAGCCGTGGTCATCAGCCATAATATCGACATGCCCGACAATGTATGCTTCTTCTGTGCATGCCGCTGCGAATGACTGCCAGGCATAGTATTATGCCCTTGCGGCTCCGGCTCGCCCAGCCCATCCGGACTTGGTGGATGTAACGTTTGCGCCAGACCTTCTTGCTCCATTTCCCTTCCACTCTTCTGAGGTAGACTAGGCGGCAAGACAAGCCACTCGCCCTTCAATCCCGTCCCTGGCCCACGCTTCGGGAACGGCGGATCCCAAGGCTTCCTCGAAGCATTCAGCACACTTTGCTGTTGCGCCTGCGCCTGCGCCTGCTCTGCGGTTCCACTATCCGCACCCGTCGTGCCGTCGGCTCCGAAGCTCGACGTCTCCTTTTGCTGTTGCTGTTGTTCTCGCTGTCGTAGTGCGTGGCGTCGTATGGAGGGTGGTGGTTGTTTGAAAAGTATCTCGGGTCGTGTCTCTGCGTTTAGCTTTGAGCGAGCGTGGGAGAAGAGTTTGGTGCGGGGGAGTTGTACACTGAGGATGGGGAGGCAGATCGCGAAGAGGCAAGCTAGGAGAAGAATTTGCCCGCTCATGCTTGCGTTGTTGAGGGTGTAGTTCTGTGGAAATTTGCTAGTAAAGATAAGTTGGTGATTTGGGTGCGTGTAAATGGCTTCGCAGGGTCAAACTCGAATCTTATAGGTTGTTAGGTGAGTCGTTGAGGACGTGGGTATGGATAGAGAGTAGGTCTTCGTGATAAAAGACACTCTGCGGTGCGGTGAGGATCGATGTGTTTAGACGGGCGCGTGGCTTGGGGTCGTTCTTGCCATCTTCGCAGGTTGGCGGTTACCTGGGATTGTCGAGGTCACGTCCGTCCACCAGAAATACTTCATCTTCCATGTCACAGCCTTTCTTACTACCTTCAGTCCTCAAGCAGATCGTCAACCCATCCCAGTCGCTCGCGCTTGTCATCTACGATCCTGGCATATTCAAGCAGTAACCGATATACATATATCAGCATGTCTTCTTTCCTCAGTACCTTCGCTGCCCACTCTTGTCCCCCTTCAGCGATCTCTCTCGCCGCCGCGTCATGTCCATCCCCGTCCCGTTTCCGCGATGCGCTGTGTACGTGATCGAAGTCATGGGGCTCGTTACCGCTTTGAGAGTCAACGCCAGCTGAGGCTGCAGATAAAGAGGCGTCGTAGCGATGGTTCGCCTCCATCCCAGCTGCGGGCTTGGTATGTTCGTGCGCATGCGCATCTTCCTCAGCCTCTGATATTGGCGTCTTGAAGTGGTGCTCATGCTGCTGCACCTCTACGACTGCATGTGGAAAGTGTTTGGCTTCCTCGCTAACATGTGTCCCTTGGAAGTACTCCAAGATGCCGTATAGGTCGACGAAGGTATTGTCCATAGGCACATAGTGCTGCCACGGCACGATTCGGCTGTCGTACCATTTACGATAGACGCTTGCCCGAAGCGTAACCTTTTCGCTTTTGAGACATTTGACGAAATCACCGCCATCGTCACCGCTATCACCGTCCACCACTATTGCATACTGGTACTTCGATTCTTCGTCGTCCGTGGCAGGCTTCGCGACCGAAAAGTACTCGCTCATGTACGGGCACCCGTGTTCTTCAGTGTCCACATCGCACTTCAAGTCCGTGAACGCAGCGTCCGCCCTACCGTTCACCCACCCAGCGAGCTGCCCCCCTTTCTGGCTCTTCAGATGGTACTCGTTTGCGGGGAGGAGCCGGAAGTTATTCGCGTAATCCACGCCGACAGTGCTCTCATTGCCAGTATGTATCGACGCTTCGGCAATCTCGACATGGGTTGCGTTCAGCATGCTGACGAGACGATGTCGATGGAAGCGCTGCCAGTATCGCGCCGGATCGTGGCCTTCTGTTGCTGGACCCCGCCAGAAGATCTTGTTAGCTTTCTCTTCCCAAGGTACACGTGAATTATCTAATAGCGAGGCTGACAAATTCCACTCCATAGCGCCCGGGATGAGGATCTCATTACTCATTGACAGCTTCGTGTCGCCAAATAGAGGGAACAGTTTCGTCGCAACTTTCATTGCTGTGGGTGCTACGAATGCGCCGTGTAGGCCCTGGAGATTGGGTTGCTGGCATGCATCTACTATGTGTGTCCAGTTCTGTGCATACCCTTTTAAGGTTCCGCCTGGAAGCTCCACAGGCAGAAGGGCAGCAGCCGAATGTACCTCGCTGGTCTCACCTTCTGGGCCCCAGATATCGTCGAATACATGGCCGTGCCTCGCTGGTGTTCCTGGAGGGCAAGATGGGCGCACAAGAGACCAGAGAGGCCGTGGGCCCAGATGCGAATCCGGGTGCGTGAGTCTTGGTCCAAGCCATTTTGGGTCAAAAGTGTAGTCCGCAGTGAGCCTGCTGATGTCCTCCATACCAGTGTAATTAGTAGCAACGTCGGCGGAATATAGCAGCATAGGCCGCGCAAGTGATACTGCAGTGTCCACCGTCTCCCAGGGCACTAGTAGCGCGGGCTCATCGTTCACGTTGAACGGGATATCCATATCCGGCAGTGTCACATTCTCATCGTCCGCCAATGTTCGGAGCATGTCCGCCCACATATCTAGCTTTGGGTACACGTTATATGTATGCGCTTCGACTTTCCCGTTACGAATCGATATCTTCGGCGAGAAAACATGTGCCTGCTTCCGTAGTAGGACCGGTTCGATGCTCCAAAACGGTGCTAGATCGTGATATATCTGGTCCCAGAACTCCTCGATGACAATAGAGTTTTGCTCGACAGCGTAGTGATACCAAGCCTCGAAGCCAGGTGGCGGATGGCGAAGGCGATTCTTTCTGTACGCAGCAGCTGCGTCGTGTAGGCTTGTCGTTCTGCCATCTAGCAGCGTTTTGAACTGCGCTTCAGCGACGTGCAACAAGTGGTCGATGGCATGTACACCGTCTGGCAACTGCTCTACTTTCTCCTCGTCTTTCCCAACTTCACCATTTTGCTTCGCCTTTTCTTCACCACTACCCCCGCTCCACTCCCACAATCTCGTCCCAGTCCCGAGCTCTACGTCTGTAAGAGCTTCTCCTCTCGTCCAGTTCAGCGTGTACACTACACCAACAAGCACCAAGCCCGTCAAAGAAACTAGATACCACAACGTGCGCCACGCAGTGGGGATACGCATTGTCGCGTATCGTCGCATCGCGCCAGGTAGATCGTCCGCGGGCGTGGGATCCGGAACCCCAATGTGAAGATGACGCGGGTTGTGTCTGCGCATGCGGGCGGGTAAATGCTAGGGCATTGTGGGGCTGCGGGTGTTTCAATAGTTCAATGAGAGAGTGTGGGGGTCGAAAAGCGTTTTGGGTGCATGAATAAAGGCATTTGTGGGGGTCGAGCAAGTATAGAGAGAAGGAGAAGCATTGCCAAAGACGAGATGGGAGTAGAGATGTGAGAGGGATATGCATGACTGCGAGATAATTGAATCTGGATGCGTGGTAGAGCCGGGTAGATTGCGAAAGGCTGTGGGGTGCGGCAATTAATTCGCGTGAGTAACTGGGATACTTCTGGAGCTCATCTGGAGTTAATTTGTGAGACTTGGCGTGTATAGACAGAAGAAGAAGTGTAGCAGTGTGAGTGCTCAAAGTGGTATATAGCAATGCAAAATGTACCTACCGTCAACAAAATTCGCTCGTGTTCGACTTTTGTAACTGTACAGCATTTGGGTGCTCCTTATTCTTCCATCTCTTCGCCATCTGCTTCATCATACTCTTCCTCGACGTTGGCGGTGTCGCCCTCTTCATAGTCTCCACCACCTTCCTCGTCGCTTTCCGACCCTTCTCCCTCGCTCTCGCCCTCACTTCCTGGGTCAAAATCGTCGTCTTCCTCTTCCTCATCTTCTTGGTCCTGCAGCTCACGCTCGGCCTTTTGTAGTTCGCTTTCTTCCTCTTCGCCGCCTTCTTGTGCTGCTGCACCATTCGCTGTCTCCTTCTTCCCTGTCTTGTTCACATTCAATTTCTTCGCCCGCCGTGCAGCAGCCAAACTGGCGTCCTGCAGCCCATGTTGCTGCACGTATTCGTTTATGCCGGCAAAGTCTGCCTGATCAAGCATGCCAAACTCAATCTCTTGTGTGGGGGTAGTGATGACGAGGTTGAATGTATTACGGAGGACCGCGGTGTATGATATACTATTTATGGCGGCGAAGTCGAAGAAGGCGAGAGGCTTTTTGAAACCGTAGAGGATTCCGACGGAGGTAAAGAATAGGTAGCCTATGTATAGTGATTAGTAGACAGCAAGGAGGCTAGGTGGTTGATAGAAGGGCGCACCTTCTTTGCTTCCCCTATGCGCCTTGACGTGGTATGCTTTCTCGCTCTTACGATGGCTTTCTGGGATTGCGCTCGAGAAGTCCTCGGCGTTAGGGAATATGACTTCCTTGGCAGTACCCGCTTGTATCAAGCAATGATGTATTGCCTCTGCCATTGGCCCTGGGCCCGGGTCTTCACCGTCGACAATGTTCTTGCCTGTCGCTTCTTCGAATGTCCATACCACCGGCTCTGGCGGCGAGGCCTTCAGCTCTTCGGGTAGCGGGTTCACGCCATCGCCGTGTACGGGGATGATGATGAAGTTGTGCTGCTTCTTTGCTTTCTCGGGGATAGGCAAGCAGAAGACCTGGTCTACGTCCTTCCAGGCTATTGCAAATTCGATGCTTCCATTCGCGCCAACTGCCCGGATGCCACCATCCTTTCCATCGAGCAGCTCGAGGGTAAACTTCTTGCGCTGCGGTATGGAAAAGCTAACGCCAGGGTATGTCCGCCATGCCTTGTTTGCAGTGCTGATTAGGCTACCGCCTACTGCTGGAGCGCCGTCGTGTGTGCCGTTGCTGTCCTCGAGCTTGCGCTTCTTTGGGGCTGGTTCGGGGGCGGGCTGTGTGGTTTGGTTGAGGATGTAGGTCGAGATGTCGCGAAAGAGGGTGCTTTGGGTGGGATTCTGGTCTTTTGCGTATGTCAGTACATGTTCCCATAGGTCTTGTTCAGGTTAGGTATACCTATGGCAGCGTGCACACGCTTCCGCAGCTCTTTGTTGCCCGCAAAAGCAACGTCGACTTCCTGTGGATGCGGTGCAGTTGTAGGAGACTGTGGCTGTGCTGGAACCGGCACTGTTGGGGCTGTAGCCCGGTTGTTGAGGGCTGTAAAAGCCATGTTGAGTGGTGATGCGGGCTCCCGGTGTTGCTGTCGAAGTTGGCGGTTGACGCGTCGCAGTTAATCGCGACTTCCCCGAAATAGCGCCTCAGGCTGCCTTGTCACGTCACCAATCCATCGCACCCCTCAATGCCTCCACCAGCATCGCCTGGCTGCATCCGCGTTTCAGGAATTAATGGTAGACCTATCTCTCTGTCGAGACTATTTTGAAGCTCACTAGCGAATGACTAACAATCTTGTTTCCTATGGAACTGCACAGAACACCTCGCTCGCCCTCGACTTGCTGCCCGTGTTAAAACCACCGGATTATCGAAGAGAAGACCACAAGGGGCCAGGTACAGCCTAAATCTCGGAACTCTGTTATTGAACAGGAGTCGGTGTCGACCAGCATTGAAGACACGCTCAATTAAAGCGAGTCAGACACTCACGATGACCAAGAATTGGTGACCATCACCACGGGTGAGCCATGGCAAGGGCCCTACCACCTGGAGATAATTAGAACTTCACGAAAAGTTGTCTGGGTACTCCATAGTCTCCCTGGTACTATGTAACCACGTTTCCGCAAAAATCGTGTCCAACCACAGCTCACACGTTGATAACAAGAGCAGTTCCCACATCTCAATTTCTCTCATATATCTTCACATCCACACTTGCTATCGACCTCTCTAGCAAACTACCATGAGTCTCCAAGACGACAGTGACTGGACTGGGAAAACAGGCGCGCCGTGAGTGTGATATTTCCTTTCGTAAGTTACTGCTAATTCGCCCAGCGTTCCGGACCAGCCTGGCGACACCTTCACCTTTCAAGTTGGCAATCCTTCGAAATGCTTCCGAGTTCACAAGAACCTACTCGAGACCGCGTCGTGGATCTCTAGGCGCATCAAACATGCCCAGTTCCAGTCGCTCATGGAAAGCATCCTACGAAAGACATTGGAAGATCTGATGAAAATCAGGCATGACCTCTCGTGCCAGCCAGGTACAGTGGCTACGGTATGGGTGTTAAACCAACGGGTAGGTTCATCGAGGTATATTGGGTTTTGCGCAACCCTAACGTGTCCTGCAGGCTATCTGGGGACTTTTCAGGTATTCCCTTCTCAACACGCCCGACGAGCTCCGATACACAGCTGCGGATGTATTTTTGATTCTCTTGGATATACTACGAATTCCAGACGATCCCGGTGTACCTCGTAATGTTTTCACTTCTCAATACATCTGGCCCAGACTGGGAGAACTGGAAGACGGGGACAACCCTCCAAAGTTCGCCTCCATTCTACTCAAAGCTATTTCAAATATAAGGACTCGGTTGCAGCAGTTGGATCAAAGGGAGCGAGTCTCCGCTGGCCATCTCGTCCTCCACGATGACGATCCCGAAGTCGTAACAATGTTTATTCGCGCTCTCTGGTCCAACAACCTTCAGGCTCAAGAACCTAGTGGCCAGCTAAGAGATCTGTCATGGTCCGAGCTCGTCAATTTGCACGCTTTCGCGAAACGTATGGACGCCGAACTTCTTGTCGAAAGGATCAAGTTTGAATTGCAGAGAACCCTTAGCCAGGCACCCAATACGATTGCGATCGAGACCCATATGACCCCGACGATAGATCAAGATATCCGACAGCTCTGCACACTAGAACTTATGACCCGTAGGTTGCGAAATGTAGGCATGACTGAGTTGGATGACAGTTCAACCGAAGATTGGGAGATGATAGAACAACCCCAGATGGTTGCATAGTAGTACCATCTATATTTGAGGCCCTTCTTAACGACTGCTGCCATAGCGACAGTCTTTTGGGCAATCGTATCGGCAATCGAAAAACCTCCGCTTTGCCTTTCCTCAATAACTGCAAATCGTAGAGCCTCGGGTGAGGAAACCACGTTGACCATCTCATATGTATTAGAGACTACACCCTTAGCGTTTGAAATTCGTATCGGTTTACGTTATGAACGCCCTTTGACTATTTGTGTCGTTCACCGCTACAAGGGGTCAAGTATCGTTCTCTAAAGGTGCCCACTCATTCTGAGCAACCTTGGTGTCGTCGACCGTTTCAGCTAATCCTGCCTTCTACATCCCACAGAACCAGCACTGCGCTGCATTCCTTTGCTTCGTTCTGATCTACGTGCGACGTGAAAAGTCGACGATCAACATCATGCGGATAATTCCAAGAACGCCTTGCACATGACAGGGCACGTACCAAATAACTGGTTAGGCTATATACAGGAACGTTATACTATCTACGCATTCCGAAGCAGGTCTAAGGTTTTCTGCAAGAGGTTACAAGTACTTCTAACGCTTAGCGGAGTATGTTATTGCGACGCGAAAGAATTTTAATTAGCGCACAAAGCAGACTGTGCATGTCGCGGCTCTCAAACACCTTCCGTCTCGCTTCGACAGCACAACCAATCCTTGACGGTAACAGCTGTCTGACACCCGCTAACTGCATTGCACTTACCCCAGAGCAATCCGGAGATCCATCGAACCGTCAAAGCGAGACCTTGTCGACAACCAAAGAACAGCCCTATGCTGGGAGACAGCATTGACAATCGATTTTCGACCAGCGGTGAGCGTGTGAGTGTGAACGGTAACAGCGGCTGTCCAGGCAGTCAGCTTGTATGCGATGTGCTTGGGCGGCTAATGGAGAATATGTATCTCTGCTGCGTCTCGTTATCTCAATCTTCCAGCCTTGCTTCTCTTTTTATCTAATATCGTCATTGTCAGACGGCAGTTCCCTTTGCCCAATTTCTTCCATACTTGGAAAAAGGGAATAGCGATAGTTGCGGCATAATCTTCTAATAACAAAGTGTCTGAAGAGATTGGGAGTAGCGGAGCAACCTTTTATCGAACAGCAACAACTCGACAGTCACCGAAATGAGGAAAGTCGAGTTCAGCCTCCCGTCGATCGCTGGCAAAGCAACATCGCTCTTCCAACCGCGCAAAGATGCCTCGCCCATGTTCAATCGCCCGCTCGACAGCGCATGTCCGCATCATAGGATAGCCCGAATCCTCTACGCCACCTTTCTCACTCTCTTGATATTAATCTCGATACCTGTTGTCGCGCTCAAGGCAATGACATACAGCTTCATTGAAGACAACCGCATGATGGGCTTCATGTTCGAAACTACGGAAAGAGACGGGAGAGAGAGCATATCGGTAGTAATGGCCGCTTTACCGCGCATGCTATACCATGCGCCGGCGAAGCTCGCGCTGGTCGCAGCCGTCATCAGTATCTTCCTAGGAGCAGCGCATCTAGGCTTCGTAGGTGTAGACTGGAAGAACGGCAAGCGTGTACGTGCTCCAACCCCCTCATTCCTTTCTTTTCGTAACCGAAAGAAAACAAGGCGGAGGTGACCAATCGACCAAAACTAACATGCAAATCATCAGACGCAAACTTACGCGTTCCGCCGCAACATCATGTTCCTCCACATCACGAATAGTATCCTCGTCCTATTCGCCCTCGTCTCCATCTATGTCACACATAAATCGACTTCCCACTTCCGCGATGGCTACGTCAACCTCCGCGCGTCGCGCATGGCAGACACTTCAAGCGAGAATTTCTTCCGCTACAACATTGGCACCTTTGACCTCGAAACATGGTCATGCGAGCTGAAAAACGTCCAAGGCGCGACCATGGTAGCAGAAGACTACGGAAAGCAGTGCAAGATCGAAGTCGCTGGGCGGGCGGTTATGATCCCGTTTGTTATTTTCGCCTGGCTGGTAGCTGGGATAGGGATCTGGGGTCTTGTTGGTGGGGGCAGGAGGGGACCTGATGGGGAGCGGATCAAGACTGAAGAGGTGGGGTTGGAGATGGGCAAGATGAACGCTACGGATGAATAGAGCTCTTTTTCTCTCTCCCTTCACCCCTCTCGTCTCCTTTATTTATAGTAATGTTTCTGTCGCTCTCTCAACGCCTTTCATGGTAATACTGTCCTTTTTCTTTTTCTCCTATGCTTTGTAGAGCAGATGATATCCCCACGTCCTACCGCGACCACTTTCGTTACCTAATACGCTGTATACACTACGATGATAGACTTGCTTGGCTGGCCGAGAGTTTAGCATTCGGCGCGCATGGGATCAAACTATGCGATCAAGAAGACGTTGCCAAGTGCTGGGACGTCGTGGTTGTGTTTCTTAGTTAGAGGGAATGAATGAATGCCAATTGTGTGTAACCTTTTTGCAACATAGGTGAAAGTGGTATATGTGAGGGTTGAGGGGATTCACGAGTGTTGCCTAGAATAGACTAGATGGTGTCAGGGTGTCAGCTGAGTCCTTGACTGCTGATATTTTGTATATTTACTGAGTAAATTGTTGCAGATGGGTAGCGAAGCAGCTCCTCGGACTCAACCTTAGATTCTCGGTGAAATTATGCTGGTCTCTCGTTGTTCTGCTTGTAAGGTTGTCGCAGCGCTCTTGACGTCCGCCAGTCAAGTGTGGATGCAGTTCATCGGCTGTGAGGATACTCAGGGTCGTAGCAGAGCCTTAGGAATATGTGTAGGATGTCACCATTCGCTTTTTGCCCCAGTGGTGTTGGCGTTCAACTGGTATTGAGACTGGGGGTCCAAATTTCCGCCGGGCTTGGATTACTTCTTTGTTACCGAGGGTGGTCCATATTGGCTTGCCAATATTCCATGTCGTAGTTATTGCAGCCTCTTCTCGTTTCCCACGCTGCTTTTTGCGGCCCAGTTTCCTCGCACATTCTAGAGATCCAAAATGCATGTGCACATCAACGCTTGCGATTCGCTAGTGTAGAGACTGAGCTGCAACGTATGAGAAATCTCTTCCTGAAGTCTTTTACCAATAGCCAGGACTTGACTCGCGTTCACGAGCCTAGCTCTTGGGGAACCATGGTATGCTCTAGGGTCAGACTATTCATTCGGACTAATGTCATGGTCGTAAACCTGGGTAAGCCAGAGAGCATACCAATGACTATCCTGGGTTTTTATTAGCAGCATCCAAGCATTGTGCGGCACTGCCAAAATGTAGTCGGGCGTACACATCAGCCCGCCCGCGTAGTGCTCTTCTTACGAAGGTTCAATTCACCCTTCCTTCCAAACACCACATCGGCGTCAATATGTCCGACTCGCCATTTTCTAAACACCGTCGCCGACTATTTCTATCGAATCTCTAGTTCCTGATTATCTTACTCCATTATCGCAACCATTGCTGCCTGTCTCAGCTGTGTGGTGACGATCGGCAAACGCCTCCGGCTCCCCAAACGTATTCCCGGCTGACGTTGCATATCCGCATGCGGAACACGAGCATGGTAGGCGTACGTGCATGCGCATGCATGGCTCGTGTCCGCCTGTGACAGACAGCTCGTGGCAGTGAGGATGTATTGATAGACCATTTCCAAGGGCTTAGGGGTCCTTGGGTGGGGCGGTGCGTCACATCGGTGCTTGTCAAGATGCGTATGCCGGCTTTTGTGTGAGCTGCGATCGCAAATAGTAGGTACGGAAGCACCGTCTTACCTTGTCACACTTCATCCTCATGTTTCTTGCTTTGTTTTAGAAGCTTATTGTTGTTCAGATTGCTTCTTGACTTAATTTCTAAAGTGACCTGACCGCGTTCGCATTTATCCTAATCACTAGTCATCATTTTTCAAGCCTATTCACGCACAATCCAGCGCTGTTAATTTGTTGTGCATACACGAACTCCGTCAAACATACCGTGAGATATACATCCAAGATGGCGGTCCCGCCATCTTCAACATCTTTCCGATGGGCCCAGGAACCGGAACCGCCAAATGAAAACCGTACATCTGCACAAGCAATCACACCATCTCGATCCTCAAGAGAAGAGCAAGAGTTGATCGCACAGATAATCGCGGATCTAGCAGAAGATTGCGAAAGCAGGTTCTCTCGGTCATCACAGTACAGCAGCAACAGCAACTCATACTCTCCGACCGAATTGCAACCAGAAGACATGACCCAAACACGGCCCCCTTCGTACAGTAGCCCAGTCGATACTTCAGTACCAACTCTGGAAATGGACAAAATGGAAAGAGCGAGGATCTCGGAATCTGAGGATTGGGTACCAGAGATGATGGATTCATACCGGACGTCAAAGCGCTCGAGTCTATCGCTACCACGCTCTTCCAAACACCATAGCATGCTCACAGATTCAGCGATCAGTTTGGTTCATATCCCGAAAGAAAAGCGTATGAGCACGAAGAGTCACTTGCAACATGTGCAGTCGGCGGATGATGAACCGGAAAGTCCGACTTCGATGACAGAGAGCGAGCAGTCAGAGGATCGTCGGCCTTCAGCAATACCTGCATACCCATCAGCAGCAAAAACAGCCGTCATAATGGTATCATTGTACATCTCCATCTTCTTGGTTGCCCTCGATAGGACAATCGTCGGACCGGCGATTCCAGCGATTACGAACCAGTTCAACAGCATAGGCGACATTGGGTGGTATGGCAGTTCATACATGCTCACATGTGCTGGCTTTATCCTCCTCTATGGGCGCATATACACCTTCTTCCCAACCAAACCCGTGTTCTTATCGGGAATTTTCCTCTTCGAAGCCGGGAGCGCGATATGCGGCGCCGCGCAAAACAGTCTTATGCTTATTGTTGGGCGAGCTATCGCAGGCCTCGGAAGTAGCGGCATCTTTACAGGCGCGATTCTAATCATGCTGAATACCGTGCCGCTGCACCGAAGGCCAATGTTGCAAGGCTTGTTTGGTGCTTGCTTCGGCGTTGCAAGTGTAGCTGGTCCTCTGCTAGGCGGTGCGTTCACCGGAAGTAAAGCAACATGGCGGTGGTGCTTCTACATCAACTTACCACTGGGTGGAATTACAATCCTGGTTGTGTGCTTTCTGTTGAAACTGGATGAGCAGAAACCAAAGCTGGCGACATGGAAAGAAACAGTGAAACATCTGGATCCGCTAGGTACAGCACTCTTTCTTCCTTCGATCACCTGTCTTCTCCTAGCGCTGGAATGGGGCGCAGCAGACTACTCATGGAGCTCACCACGACTTATCGCTCTTCTTGTCATTTTTGCAGTCCTTCTCGTGGCCTTCATAGTATGGCAGTACTTCACGCAGCATACCACAGCAACCATCCCAGCACGCGTGATCTTTCAGCGCAGTGTTGCATTCGGAAGCGTTTCACAGTTCTGCGTAGGTGCCACCATGCTCACAGTCTCAATATACATACCTCTCTGGTTTCAAGCGATCAAAGGCGTGTCAGCGATGCAGTCTGGAATCAACACCATCCCACTCGTTCTTTCGGTCGTCGTAGGATCCATCCTGTCAGGCGGCCTCGTACAGCGCGTTGGCTACTACACTCCATTTATGATCCTCGGTTCTAGCTTCATGGCGGTCGGTACTGGCCTTCTTACAACTTGGAACATGGGTATTAGTACTGGCATGTGGATTGGATACCAGATCATCATTGGTTTCGGCGTTGGATGCACCATGCAGCATCCAAACATAGCCGTACAAACTGTTCTGCCCAAGCACGACGTGCCAATTGGAACAGCAGTTCTGTCGCTCTTTCAAACACTTGGTGGGGCTGTATTTACAGCGGTTGGGCAGAACCTGTACATCGACAAGTTTTCCAGTGGCTTGGAACGAATTGGAGGTCTGGTTCCAGGCCGTATCCTCAACGCGGGCGCGACAGATATGACGAGCGCAGTACCGATGGTGCTGAAGCATAGAGTTTTGGAAGCATACAACCACGCCTTGACGAACGGCACATTTTTCGCGGCACTTATTGTAGCCTGCATATCTGTTCCGGCGGCATTAGGCATGGAGTGGCGAAGCGTCAAAGAGAAGCAGGGCGCGACGCAGGCTCCTGCAGTGCAAGACGAAGAGAAACAAGAATCACTCGGCGAGGACCGAATGCCACCCGGCATCCTCAAAAGATCAACTACACAGTCTAGTAGGTCGGAGATGAGTACAGCACCGTCACTTGCTCCGCCAGTCCCAGCTTGGAAGAATTTGTATCGATCTAGCGGTCAATTTTCGTCATACCTGACGACGAAGGTGAACCCAGACCTCCGTGCTGAATTGAGGACTGTAAAATGAAGTAGTTGAGGCAGGTGGCATTTGCTTTTTTCAATTTGTACAACAGCTCCGAGCCCGTTGAGTTTGGCTGATATTCATGCAGCCGGGATCGGTTCGGGATGCATGCTTGACCTTTAGTACTTTAAATTGAAGTCAATAATACATGTGCCGTCTTGAATTGTTGTTGGCTTTTTGTGCCGTAAGTCTTGTGCACGCATCGGACGTCTTTACAGTTGTGGTAACAACTAGCCGAGTAATGGTGGAAATTATTATACGATTGTTTTTGCGGTGTTCAGGTTCCGGACGGTGCGACCGTTGTCACTCCTGGCGGGGTCCACTGCAACTAACTCAGAGATCAGCAGCAGTCTGACAGGTGTATGCATGTACTAGTCAGCCCCGATACCACAACGCCTGCTATTCGTGCATGGACTTAGAGGCTCTTGATCGACAGTCATTACTTGCCCCAAAAAGTCAATAGTGTGTCTAATGAGCGAGTGAGGACGCCGAAAAACTGCCTGGAACAGCGCAGCCGTCCTACCGCGCAGAGTCCTTCGATTTGGCGAGTCTCACTCGCTCAGCTCTGATGACTGCAATGCCACTAGCTGCGCCTGCTCAGGCAAGCAGCCGAATGAAAAACCTAATTCAATTTAGGTTGCAACGCTTCTTTTTCCACGGTTCCCCGCAGATTGTCCTGAGTGCCGTGTGCCACTCATCCAGGCTTAGAGTGAACGCGATGCTAGAATGCCCGCGAATTGAGGCCGCCTCGCTTGTTCATTACTGTTCTCGGGCTCCGGCTAGGACGTTGAGCTTGCGCTAACCATCCGATGCCGTAGTGGCGCTCTCACAGCTACACAACGTTTGCTGTTTCGAGAATCGGCGCTGCGTCGGAGATAGAGGGGAGAAAATCAGCCGTGCGGATGTGAACGTCCAAGTGTAGGGAAACAAATGGGTTTGTGCGCAAAGATGTGCGAAGAGGTCCATATAAGACTGCCTTCCAAACTGTTGAGACACTTGTAGGAATTCTCAACGAGCCCTCCTTGTGACTGACTTTTTCATTACTGTACCACCAAGTCCCGAAGTTCTGAGGTTTCGACGAGATTGGCCACGGCACGCAGCAATGGCACCCAACTCTGTGCATATTGTGCTCAGCGTAGCATGGCAGGATGCTGGCGACACAACACGGGCAATTGCAATGGCCATAGCATTGCGAGATATGTGCCCGCCCGGTATCGACCTCAAAATTGACTTCCTCTCATGTGGTTCGCGTTTCGAATACCAGATTACAGACGCCGGCTTCAACATCGTCCCGGCTCAGCCCCGCGTCAAGGGAATTTCAGTCGCGCACGACCTTGGATGGGACTGGCCAGAGTTCTTTGGCTCGGAAGAGATTGCGAAAACGTTCATCGAAGGCCAACTTGCGGCTTTCAAAGAGCTGAAGCCTGACATCGTGTTCCATGGTATGTGGGCACCGGCGTCTATCGCTGCACGACTGCTAGGCATCCGAACAATCAACTTCCTGCCTGTGCCACTTCATCCCGGGGCTTTCGCACATGGCCTCGTTCGGGATCTTCCAGACATGATGCCGCTCTTTACTCGTCTACCCCGACCTATCCGGCAACGTATGGCATGGTGGGCCAGTGGCTTGATGATCAAGGCGCCGATTTTCCAGCAAAAGCGGTTGGGTGCAGCCGCTGCGGCTTGTGGTTGGCCTATCAAGGGGCCAATCTCCCTTTTCGACATGAACATGGCGGACCTCAACATCGTCAACGACCATCCTATTTTCCATCATGAATACCTGAATCGACTCCCCAAGAACATTGTTCTTACCGGCCCACTGTACGCTGGAAGTGATTCAAAGCTAGATGGAGACATTGCCACTCATTTAACAAAGGGACCTGGGCGGTCAATCCTGGTAACTATGGGTAGCTCCGGTACCGAGGAATTCCTCTTCGAAGCGATCAAAGCACTCAAGATGAACCCTGAGGATGACTGGAATGCCGTCATCTTAGCTTCGAAGTCCATCTGCGACATCGACAAGGCCAACGTGGTTGCAGGTGGTGACGCCCGCCTTCTGGTGACAGACCGATTCATCCCGGCGCCTGCTGCAAATGCTCTTGCCGACGTGATCGTCACACATGGAGGGCAAGGAACCGTTCAGTGCGCCTTGGCTGCTGGGAAACCTCTCGTTGGTGTTGCGTTGCAGGTTGAACAACAGACGAACCTGGACAACGCGATGAACGCTGGAGCGGGAATCCGGGTTCAGAAGCAGTTTTGGAAGGCCAAGAATATTCGATCAACGATTCTCACAGTATTGAACGACCCGACATATGCTGCGAAAGCGAGGATGCTGGCCGAGACATTGAACTCTATGGATGGCGCGAAGACGGCGGCGGAGGTTATGTGGAAGTTTATCCTGGAAGAGCAGACCGAAAAGTTCAAAATGTAGGAGAATGTGAGGGAGGACATCATGATATCATGACAACCTCTTGCATGCGGTGTTCCGAGTTGTGACGCAGGATGATTGGCTCTGGCGCGGCATGGCGCTTATGATAGTTTTGACCGCTATATATCCTTCGAGGACTCTTAATAATTGTTTACCATACGTGCACTCGTCGGAAACTATAATTGAAAGTGAAGGATGGCCGCTCAGGTGATGGAACGCCAGGGGTGAAAATCGTCTGGCCGCAAGAGGAACCTTGCAGGCTTGGCGCAGACATCCACCCACTTAACCACAGAAAACTGATTGGAACTTCAAGCTTGAACTCATCTATGGGCGTACACAGTTCGTTGACTTCGTACTCACATCTTATTTATCCGGACCACAAGAATGCAACCGAAGGGTGTCCCACCGGCAAACGTAATTGCGAATATTGACAGCAATGTCGCTCACTTGGCTCACTCTATGGAGATCCGGGATCATCTCCTGCATGCTTGCGACACACATTTTACTAACTTCTATCTGAATATAATCCTTACTAGAACAAACATCAAGGCATTGGTACGCATCACAATACGTCTAGATGTGGGGCCTTTGACCGAAGCCGCACCTAGCATACAGAGCGCAGGCGTGCATTTGTATTTTCGGATGAAGCGCATCGGACTACTCAAATTGACGTGATAAAGCGATAAAGTGGTTGGTTCAGATCCCTTAGCAGGTTACAGGGTGATCAATGGGTCCTGAATATAGCTTCATGCTCCGCAATACACTGGGTTTCTAACTTGGTAATTGTGACGGATGCTTGAAGCTTTGTATTCTTGTCTCACCAGTTTGAGTTCATATATTAAATGTATCTATAGCTACGCTACCTCACTTCTCTGAGTTGAAGATGTGGCGCTAGACTTTGTGGCCCGGCCTCCTTTCTACGTATCGAACAGGATCGCTTTGAAGCACCCAGGGGTTCCATGAGTTAGGTATGAGTAGTTGGCGCGAATTTGAAACTCAAAATCAATTTGGATGATTAATCAAGCAATATCATGAACCTAACGCCAGGTAACATCAACCACGACCTGCATCTTGCGCTCCAGAAATTCATCCCGGATCCACTGCGCCAGGCTATGCAGCACCTGCGTCAGAGATGCACCTCCCTCCAAGCTTCCATGTGTCCACGACGCATCAATACCATCCAGAACAACATGTTTCAACATCCTGCACTCTAACAGTTCGGTCATCTTGTAGTGGCTGACCAACTCAGACACATCCTTTCCGGTGTAAGAGAAGCTATCAGGACCGAATGGCTTCCGAAGCTTCGACACATGGAAAGTGAGCTTGATTTTGCGCAGTGACGTGCATTGCTTCGCGAGCTTGAGGTCTGCAGACTCTAGACCTCCAGGGAAGTGCTGGAAGGACGTGAAGTGGAGCTCTCTGATACTCGTAAAGCCATTCTTATCCGGAATCGATCTGAGGAAGCGAATTAGGAATTGATTGGAGCTGTAGCTGCGGATGACAAAGGCATTCTTTCGAATCAGGACCAATGCTACTTCCCGACAGAGGGGATGAGAAGCCCGAAGGATGGCCGGCAGGTTGTCTTTGCGTGTGATGGGGTCGGCTATCCGGTAGGTCTCTGCATCGATCTGGCGGTTGACGAAGTCATCGGTGACAAGTATCTGCTCGTAAACAAGGTCACGTATTTCTCGAGGGAGAGTGATAAGACTTCCGAGGCCAGCATTTGGTGAAGACAAGCCCGATTGGAGAACCTCGCTGTAGCTCGGATACATTGGGGTTGATATGATGATGCCCATGGTTTCGTTGAGTTAGTTTATAAGTTGAGTTGTTGTAGTGGTCTCTCAGTTGTATCGAGTAAGAGCGGATAGCGAGGACTTAAATGATCGTGGGCTGTCGATATAAGCGCATTGACCCGAGGAAAGGTGAAATGTGCAATAAAGTACTGTCAGCACGAGTGAAAGAAACCTCAAGTAACATAGTGCTGATTAATACAATGCTTAAAAAAGTGAATATAGGTTTTACCTAACTCGCCGAGGTACGCCATGGCCACATTTGGGGCCTTGACAGCTGTGGCTCTCACAGCAAGACAGGGCTATTCTGGATCCGAGGAATGAGCTCCTCTATGAAGGTCTTCGTACAGCAAACAACTACATCAGCTGGCCTAAAGGATCCTCATATTATCGCTTCTTTGTTATTACTACGTCATAATTGGGGTCATTTGGGGAGTAGGGGGTTGCTACTTTCACGCTCAGCAGCACGATCATGCGCGTGACAAATACGCTGTACTCAGCAAGGGAAACATGGATCGCCAAATTTGTCATGGTGACGGAGGAATTTCAGCTGCCGAATTTTGTGTCGTGGTACGGACTTACTCAACGAGGTGATTGTCGTTAGGCCTACGCAAGTACCTTCACTAGTCATCAGCATGGACCAGTTCTAGAACACGACGAAGAAGAAAGCCCGAATGACATGCCTGCCACTCCAACTCGAGCACCTAATTCCACTTCCACTCTACCTCAAGATCTTCACTTCAACCCTAAGACTGTCTCAATACCACCAACTCTACATTTCCCCAATAGCTCATCCAGTTATATCGCTACGTCAAGTCGCCCTCACCCCAAAATGTCCTCGTCACTAGGGTCAGCCCTAGCCTTCTGGCAAGCTCAATTCAAACAACGACCTCCGACTCTTCCAATGTTACCATTCGCTACCCGGGGATTTCGGAATCCTGATGCAATCCCAGCATTCCACCGCTTCGAGGCTGTTCTTCCTACAGAGGATTCAATGAACCTTCGATTCGCGTCCATGAACCTCAACCACACGGAAATGCATTTCGGACTAGCCGCATTGCAAGTCCTTCTCATGCACTTGACAGGTGCGGAGGACTTCGTAATCGGCATCGGACGGACTGTCGGCAACAAGAGCGATGTGATGCCCGTAAGATTCAAGGCTGACCTAGAAAAGTCGTTTGAAGAGCTACTTGCGCTTACCAAAGAGACGCTAAGACGAGTAGGGCGATACTTGCACGTTCCAGTCAAGTCATTGCTCTCTGCTCTAGAAGTCTCCAGGCAAACTTTGCTTCATCAAGTCACCTTCGACTGGCTACCGAACTCGATTCATGGGTCCCAGAGCATGGACATGTACTTTCAACATTCACAAGATCTGGTCTTGCTAGTCCGAGAGGACGACCATCGTAACCTGCGGGTATCTGTTGCAGTTCAGGAACATGTCTTCGAGAAAGAGCACGCACAATTGATTGCAGAAATATATATTAAGTTGCTAGGCAGCTTGGCCATCGGGTCTGAAGGCGCACTCTGCGCTGTAGACATCCTAGGGCCTAGAATACGAGAAAGGAGTCGAAATCTTGGAACAGGACCCCATGTCGAATCTTCCGCGGAAAGCATCCTCATGCAGATATCGGAGGTCACCGAGAAGGTGCCCAGTAGAGTCGCTGCAGAAGACCAATACGGCAATCAAATTACGTATATCCAACTTGTGCAGCGAGCCATAGCCATTTCGACAGTATTACAAGCCAATGGTGTCACGAAGGCAACGCCGGTATGTGTGCTTGGCTCGCCAACCATCGATTTGCTCTGCGGAATTTTGGCGATTTGGTGTGCTGAAGGAATATATGTGCCACTAGACTATCACGAGTCTGTAAAACACAACAGCGCTATTGTCGACAACTGTGGAACCGATATTTGTCTGGTTAGAAGTCCACGTTTGGTTCAGTATGCCCAATCTATCGGTCTGCGTACCACACTCAACTGCCCCGATCTGCAGTTTATTGAAGGGGTCCAAACTATCGACAAAGTGATGCCCAATGATGTTGCTGTCGCACTACATGCGCCCGCGTCAGACAAATCACCCAAGGGCATCATGCTAACGCATGGAAATCTCATGAGTATGGTTGCCGCTGCGAAATACTACTTTGAGGTTGAGCACCCCGTCGTACTACAGCACACCAACTGGGTATACGACCACTCCCTCTTTCAGATACTGTTCGCCCTAACGTCTGGAGGCAAGCTTGTTCTTGCGCCTACTCCTGAAGACCTCGCAGAAGTTCCGAAAGTTATAGCGCGACAAAAGGTTACAGTCACTGTTGCCACACCCTCCGAGTACTCCATGTGGTTCCAGTCGAACTCCGATGCCTTGGAAAGTTGTAGTTCCTGGAAACTCGCATTTTGTGGCGGAGAGAACATGACGTCAAGTATGACTCGACACTTTGCCGCGCTTGGAAACAACAACCTAGAGCTCGTCGGCATGTACGGTACCACTGAAACCTCAGTTGTTTGTTCCATGGGCGTAGTAGGCTATCGTGAATATGCTGCAGAGTCTGAGGGGAAGTTAATCCCCGTCGGCCCGGCTTTGCCAAACAATGTTGTTTGGATTGCAGATCAATATGGACGGCCAATACCGCCTGGTTGGATTGGAGAGATATGGGTGGGAGGCTCGGGAATAAGCACAGGTTACTTCGGGCCTGACGTCGACGACGACATGTTCTGCGTCGATGATGAGACGGGCGTGAGGTCATTCCGAACTCTCGACAGGGGGTTCCTCAACGATAGGGGAATACTATTCGTGGTATCTCGAGACCATGATAACTCAAACGTCCAGCTTCGAGGCCACTTCATCAATCTGAACGACATCGCTCGGGCCATCATTGACCAGTCAAATGGTAAGATAGCGGAGGCAGTCGTCATTCTGACCCAGGAAGATGAGCCACAGGTACAGGTTTTCGTTGCTTTGTCGAGAGCCCCCACCGCTGAGTCGCCGCGATATCTACAGGCTATGCTTCGCAGTCTCAATCTTCCAAGCTTCATGCGCCCATCACGCGCCATCGTTATTGAAGCGCTTCCGCTTACGCCAGCGGGGAAGATTGATCGATTTGCTCTCCAGACAAGGATGTATCCAGATACACAAATTATTCAGATTGTTCAACCAGCAAGTTCCTTTGGCCGGAGTCAGCGTCCACGCGGCGATATTCTTGGTTCGACAGAGCAGAAGATCGTGGAGATTTGGGAAGAATTTCTTTTCAAGACTGCGGCCAGGCAAAACATCACTGCGACGACGGATTTCTTTGCCATTGGCGGCACGACTCCTCTCTTATCCCATGTGCTCGATAGGATGCGTAAAGCATTCAGAGAGACACTCACCATAACAGATCTAGTTCACAATGCGACACTGAGGGGAATGACGACAGTGGCCATGAACAAGACAAGCATTTTCACACTCGGAGGCGCATCCATCGACTGGAAGTCTGAGACTGCTCTTCCAATGACAAGGGGACCTGATTTCTCTGCCGAAGCCGTGAAGACTGGCCAGGCGCTGGTTGTCCTCCTAACTGGAGCCACCGGTTTTATAGGTCGCGCAATCCTGGAATGTCTCGCCAGTGTAGAGGAAGTGGTATTGATACACTGTGTCGCTATTCGCTCGCCAGCTAAAACCGTTCCGCACCCGAAGATTATCTACTACAATGGTGATCTCACTCACCACTACCTCGGGTTATCTGATGCGAGTTGGGAGCAGCTCAGTCGCTCGGTTGATGTCGTCATTCATGCTGCGGCTTTGGCTGACCGTATTCGCCCTTATGCATCCCTTCGAACCACAAATGTGTTACCTACGAAGAAGCTCATCCAGTTTGCAGCACCTCGTCTTATCCCGATCCACTTCATCTCATCAGCGGGAGTCGGTCGCTTCGTCGGACATCCCACGTTTCCTGAGGTGGCAGTTGGTAGCAACCTTCCGCCGGTACATGCCGATGGGTATACGGCGAGCAAGTGGGCTAGCGAAGCGGTGCTTGAGAAGATCCACGGCAAGCTGGACATGCCCATCATGATTCATAGGCCAACGACCATCATCGGACCTAATACTTCATCGAACGATGTCTTGGCAAATCTCTTTCAGTACGCTAAAGAACTCCGTGCAGTACCCGACCTCAAGCACGTGAAAGGCTTTTTCGACATCATTCCCCTCGATGTTGTGGCACGCACCATTTCGCGGGAAGCACTAAAGCCCATTCAAGGCATCAACTTCTCCAACATTGGTGGTGTCAAGAGGGTTCCGGTTCGAGATCTGCATCTGGCTATGGCCATGGACACCGGTATAGAGATGAAAAAGGTTCACCTGCAAGAGTGGGTGCGCATGGCAAAACGCGCTGGGATGAGCCAGGAGATTGCGCATGTGTTCGAAGAGTTTGATGAGCTTGTGAAAGTGTTTGTATACCCAGAGGTCAAACGTAGTCGTGACCTAGCGTGAATTTTCCTGGGCGGTGCGAATTGTGCGTAAGATATTTTTGGATAAGCGAATGTCGATCAGTTTTTGAGGAATTTAAATGAAAGTTGTCTCATGTGGCCTCAGTTAAGAATAAAAGATGAGATCGCAAGAAACGCCCTATGCCCCAGGAATTACCTGTTGAGCTATCGCTGTTCGGTGGGTTCAGTTGCGATGAATGTGGAGAACGAGCGACGAAGCTAAACAACACTTTGCAAACACTATCACGAGTCCGCTTTGTATCCACCCACATACAGCTCCCGCCGCACGATCCAGGAGCCAACTCACGCGTTCGCCTCTGAATCCGGTGTGCTCTAAACTAAGGCAGCAAATCAGATGCCCAATCCCCACAGTGGCCACCAATCAGCGCCCGCTACGTTGACCATGTCCAACATCGGCCGGGTCACCGCACCTAGCATGCATGCAACGCCACCTAGCTCCCGGAGCCCAAAACAACGCGTCTGGCACTTTAAAACTTAGGATCCCCCGGGTTCTTGACTCCTTGAATATTTGGTATTAATTCGTAAAATTAGATAGTACGTCCTGAATATGTCTGTCCCGGGGGAATTTCCAGCAGCGCCGATGACATATCGGGAGCGGCTGGCGCAGTTCAAAATCTTGGAGGAGAAGAGACTTGAGCTGATCGAGGTACGTCATTCTGTTCGACTTGGACATGGAAGTTGACTAACGGCGCCGTAGGAGCTATTAGACAAGCTTGAGAAGACCGAGTCACGCCTCGCACAAACTGAGCTCGACCTCAACTCCGAACAGAATGTTAGGCGGACGTTGCAGGCTGAAGCCTCCGACTCGAAAGTGAGAGAAGAAGTGTTAGTTCAAAAGCAGGTCAGGATACCCGAGGACTACTTTGAACGCCTACAGCAGCTGACGAAATTCAGGCACGGCGGCCGTTCGTATTAGTTCTTATCGACGCAGACGCAGATGGATTCCTCGTATGCAATCCCCTCATCCAGCCACATAATGGATACTAAGCGTGCTACAGTTCCATGACAAGTACATCACCCGTAAAGCCCAAGGCGGTGAAGCACTAGCCGACGAGCTCCTCAACCGAACACGCGAGTACCTCCGCCCACAGTTTGAGGATGCAGACTCCTTAGACATCATCGTGCGAGTGTATGCCAACCTTGAAGGCATGGCAAACTACCTCGTTCGAATGGACAAAGTTAGGAATCTGGGGCAGTTGAGAGCTTTTTCAACAGGATTCTGCGGGCGTATGTCGAGCTTTGATTGGATTGATACCGGGGTGGGTAAAGAAGGTGGATCTGGGAGGAAAGTACGAGGCAAGTAACTAAGACTCTGCTTCGACCAAGTTCGAGATACTGACTCATGTGGTGCAGAGAGCCTCGCGTTCTACACAACAAACTGCCATCTCCGGCACATCATCGTAGGCTGCTCGCCCGCCAATCTTCCAGCCTCACTTCTCTCGAGTATACCCCTCGAAAAGGTTACGCTCATTGAGTCGATACCGCTACCTGCCGCACTCACCACACTTCCCATTAAAGTCACAAGGTTCACCACATTGTTCCTAGGGCCCCCATCACCTAAGTCGCCAAAACCTCGAGGGCAGAATGGACCACAACTGCAGCTCATGCAGCAGGAAGAGGATGGAGGTGGATCGACATGGCTAGTGATTCAGCCGGAGAGGAGCAAGAGTCAGAGCGCTGGGGTGAGGAGGAGAGAGCGTGGTGGAAGTTCGGACGGGAATGACAGCTTGAGTATTAGCATTGGGCCGGACAATACTGTTAGTGTTGATAGTGGGAGGCGGCGGCGGATCATGGGTTAGCACTGTTAGTACTCAGGTGAGCGCAAGAGAAGCAGGGATAGCGATAGAGGAAGGACCAAGACTGAAAAGCATTTCCGGGGCGGCAACAACCGAGGGTAAACGGTTGCATACGAGAAGTACTTGGTCAAGTTTGATAGCATAGCGTGGCATCAGCATTTTCAGCATATACGCAGTGTAGAATACCTACACCGCAAATTTTGATTCGCTGTCTTTTGCATCCCAGTACTGACGCTTAGCGCCCTAGTTGAGTAACGTCAACGAGTAGAGGCCTTAGCTCGGATATCCACGAAGCCAAGAGTCCACTCACAGATCTGAGGCTTTCATGTTGAACTCTTGGGAGTACTCAGCGGGGTAGCCAAGTGGAGTTGAGCAAGGAACAGCTCAGGATTGTGGATCGACATCGCTAAGAGAGGTAGGGATGTGCTGTCACCCCGCGATTCGGCTCGGGAGACGACTTGCGGAGATTACATCGTAGGATTCGGGAATTTGTGGACGTATAATAAAGCGATCATCTCGAAACGCAGTCTAAGAATCTTGTTGTAACTGGGTGAGACATTATGGCGACCAAGGAGAAGGGCATCGAAGCCGAGCACAACGAGCGAGTGAGTACATTCTAGCTCCCTTCAAAGTTGGTCGCTTGCTAATTCGCACAGCTATCCGTTGATGAGAAGCACCATAGCGGCAAAGATGGAGGTCTCGATGTACAAGATATCCTCGACCAGAAGAACGACGCACCAGGACCAGATGTAGTACCATCTCAAAGAGATGACCATGAGACGCGTCGCATTATCCGGAAGGTCGATCTCAGGCTCTTGCCAACTCTCGCTGTGATTTATGCCTTCGCGCTCATCGACCGTGTCAACCTTCCGAATGTAAACATCCACCCTATACACACCTAATGAATGATCGTTGATGAATGCAGGCACGCATTGCAGGCATGGACGCAGACCTCGGCCTCTCAATTGGTTCGCGGTATTCCATACTCACGATGATCTTTTTCATTCCCTACATCATCTTCCAATTCCCAGCGAATATCGTCATCCGGAAGCTCGGTCCGGCCGTCTGGCTACCCTCGCTAGTCATCTGTTGGGGCGCTGTCACCATTGGTATGGGGTTCGTTACTCATTGGACACAAGCGCTCGGATGTCGTATCATCTTGGGCGTTCTGGAGGCTGGGTACTACCCGGGCTGCGTGTTCTTATTGAGTTGCTGGTATGTGAGGTTCGAAGTACAGAAGAGGTTCAGTGCGTTCTATCTGCTAGCCTTGTTAGCAAGTGGCTTCTCGAATATCCTTGCCTGGGGTCTGAGTGAAAGGTAACAATCGGTTCCCAGAAATATCATCAAGGGTTTGCTGATTTGTGAATAGTAAGTCATATCTCGCTCCGCTTACCCAAGTCTAAACGCGCTAACTGCGTTGCCACGTTAAGTGAAGGGAATTGGCGGGCTCAACGGATGGCAATGGATCTTCGCAATTGTCCGTATCGCATAAGATGAGCTGAAATGCGTGTTAACCCAACACAGGAGGGCGTAATCACCGTTTTCCTCGGCGTTATGGGCTATGGTATGGGACTACGATAGACAACAGCATTGCGAGACACGCGCTGACTTCGTTCTCAGTCACCATTATCGACTTCCCGGATAAAGCTAGCAAGCCTAGTCCAATCACACGACGACCATTCCTCACAGTAGACGAAGCGGCCATAATCCTCTCTCGAATTCAGCAGGACCGCGGCGATGCTGTCGTTGATCAACTAACCTGGGCGACGATCCGGGTCCATCTCCGCGACTGGAAGATCTGGGAGTTCGCATGGCTCTACTTCCTCAACAACGTCGTCGCATATTCTTGGGGATACTTTCTACCCATCATCCTGCGCAACGACATGAAGTACTCAGTCGCCATGAGCCAGATCATGTCCTTCCCTCCCTACGTGCTAGCCGCAGCGTGGATGTTCGCGACAGCTTGGGTTGCCGACAGATACCGAAAGCGTGGGTTGATCATTATCTTCAATTGTACTTGGGCAATCATCGGCGTGTGCATGATGGCGTTTCTCGATAACGCTCGTGCCCGATATGCTGGAGTGTTCCTGGGCGTGTCCGGGGCGAATGCAAATGTGCCCAGTCTGTTAAGTTACATGCATAACAACATCGTTGGCCAAATGAAGCGAAGCATCGCAAGTGCGTTATTAATTGGCGGTGGAGCCTGTGGGGGTATCGCGGCGTCGAATATCTTCAGGCAACAGGACGCTCCAAAGTATACGTAAGTGATTTCTTTCGTCCCTGAGGGTGATGATAGTAATGCTAAAACTCCGACAGGCCTGCCATGGCGGTCGTGATTGCGACACAGGTGCTCAGCATATTTCATGTGCTGAAGAACTTCATGGTGTATTCGAGAGCGAATCGTCAGGCCGACAGGGCAGAAAGAGTTCTGGAAGGGCAAGAAGGGTTTAGACAAACAATGTAGCCGCTATCAGCATGCAGGGCTTGAATGTGAACCTTACCATTTGGCTAAGGAAAATAATTCCACTGTTGCATGGATTTAAGTCTTTTCTGAGGCCCATAGTGATTCCCATCCATCTATTCACATGTCGGGCCTCGTCGGAGCTGTCGACGTCCTCAAAATTTGAGAGTTAATCGAATCTTCACCACGCTCATGATGAGAATCATCGATTAAAACTCCCTCAACCCGCAGGAGGCTGCCAAAGATTTCCTTGCCGTCAAACTCTAGGATGATGGGGTCGGCCGCTTCTCTTGTACTTAATTTGTATTTAGTCTCCTTGCCGCGAGTGGCCTTACTCGTAGCCTTCACGGCAAACGGTCGGAGTGGGCCAACAAGTTCCTGTCGGATCGCAGGCGTGGCCGGAGTATCATAACTCGATACCACCCCAATATAGACTTGACGACCCGCTTGGACTGGAGCCACTAAGTCCTCCGTTGTGTAGTCGCGCTCAAGATTCTGAAAATCCTAAGAGGGTAGATTCCTGTATTTCGCCAATAAAGGAAAATGCTCGGGGACCACAGATGCTAGCTTGACCCGGAACTCGCGATCCAAGCTCTTAGTGTAGAGATAGATTTTACGATAGAATTTGCGATAATCCCCTTTCGAGGCTATCAGGTATAACACACTCCGACACGAACAAAGGACACTCAAATTACCTTCACGGGACCAGCTCTTATGCAAACAATGGGAAGAAGACGTGTGCTAAGGGGCCGGAAAAGCATATTGTGCACGAATCTATACCTATACTTTAGATTGTTGCCCTTGACCACTGAAAGGCTCTCCGGCATCTATGATACAGGTAGTGTGTAATGTATCTTGAGCTAAGAAGCTGTCTCTTGTGGCTGTACTCCCCCTCCGATAGTTAGCCAATGGGCGCCTCACGTGACATGCTGTAGAATGCCCGAGCGAAAGGCCGACGTCATCAGCACTAACGTGATACCATAGACTACGCTGCTCCCGACCACTTCCCCGAGCCCTTCGCATTCAGCTCCAGCGCCGAGGAACAGTATAGCGCAGATTCTTAGAGCGTTCAGTACCTCGCAGAGCCGCTTCTTATCCTCCCCACCGCTGATCGCATGGAATACGTGCACATGGTGTGTTGCTTCTGAACTTGTTGTCTCCTCAGCCCTGTGTCACTAATTAATACCTTAAAGATCCTATTTGCGCGATAACCCCATCTCACCCCCATCCTACGTCTCCTTCCTACTTCTATTTCAATAACAGTGAATAATGCGCGTTGACCCTTGCATCGGCGCCAACATCCGCTCAAAGAAAGATTTGACATCACTTTGCGAAGTAGAAAACATAGAAACCGGCGCATTCATACGATCAACCTTTACCTACATCGATGACCACGACAAAGCATGGTTTGGTCAGACAAAGGACATAAGGAAATATGATTTAACTGTTCAGGATCTGAACCGACTCCTGCAACGAGTTCCGGACGAGAGGATATATCCGCTGAAGACCACCACTCTGTCGGTAGCGTCAGAGGAAATCCGGAGCCAGCTCTATATCAAACGACCTAAACTATTATGTCTTGACAACGAGGGAGAGGCAAAGCTCCTGCCCCAACTGCTACTCCAAGAAGCAGAGGTATTACAGTTCCTGGAACAAAATCCTCATCCGAATATTATCAGGTTCCATGGTTGCACCGTTAATCGCGGTCGATTCACCGGTATTGCCCTTGACAAGCACAGTGTCATCTTGCAATACCGTCACGAAGATGTCCCACATCCTCTTAATATCGATGCTTGCATGCGCGTTATCCGTGCGGCTGTGAAGCACCTTCATTCTTTTAGACTCGCGCACAACGACCTCAACCCCACGAACATTGCTATTGATGGCGATGACAATCCAATCCTACTAGACTTTGGGTCTTGCAGAAGATTTGGTGAACGCCTCCTTTCAGGGGGTACATTTAGCTGGATAGACGAGGATTATTCCACATCAGCTCAATGTCACGATGAACTTGCTATGGTCAAAATAGAGGCGTGGCTTCTGAGTGAGGCACAAGAGAAACACTAATTAAAAGTACAAGTTTATTGTGCACGCAAAACTCACGTCGCCTACGAGCTGCTTGCATAAGCGTTTTGATATGTTTATGATGTGGTATCGACCCTACTCGAAACACAAAAAGCAATGCGTGAGCTCACTAAGTCACCTCTATGCCCTTGCGATCTCTGTGTTCTCCCTTTAGAAATCGTCGGAAACGGCTTTTAGGCAGCCTTGAGTCTGTTGAAGACGTCGGTTTGGGATGTTGTCGGACGTTGGGCACGTTACTCTCCCGAAATCTTCTCTTCTAACCTCGGTTCGCGTTCTTCTACGGCCATTTTCATCAAACCAGACTACAATTTTAGTGGTATGTGTGCACCTCACTCCAATGTTAGTAGGAGATATTTCAACTGACAGTTACTTACATCTTGATAGAGCTGCACTTTTAAGCTGCGAATGCTTGTTTTAAGCATGTGCGAAAAGTTTATGAAAGTTCTTACGGAGCTTGACTACGATGAAAAGCAAAGTGAATTTAGGCAGCAGACCTGTCCTGACCCTACGACACACGTCATACTGCATACAAATCCCCACCAACACCAGTCAACTCAAGAAGGAAAGACGGGGTAGTTGCAGTAATCTTGTGTCCATTAGCGCAAGACTTCTGCCACGATTCTTTTGATCAGTTGCACCGCTCAGTTGCTACGCTAAGAACCTCGTTATATTGGCAGGTGGTGAATGCACTGCTTTACTCTTATCAACTACAAACGGCGAGCTCCCCACACACCACAAAATAAATACTCACGGTGATGCAGCTTCAAAACACACCTCTGCATAAATAAACTAATCCTTCACAAAGCTGGCGGAAGGTCCGGTAAGACACGGTGATTGTGCCGGTGTTTTCGAAAAGCGCGTGAAAGCATATATCGAAAGACACCCCATTTCACCTTGGAAGAGATTTCACGTACTGTGGTACGGACTATACTTTTATATTAAACAACTTGTATATACTCACTGAATATGTCGCAAGTGCTGCCTTTGAACAGCAGACATACAGTCGAAGTAGTTGCACTGATCAAAATTAGAAAACCACAAATTTGTCCCAACTTCTGCATCACATCCGCCTATGCAGAAATACACACTAGCAGAATAGGAATGCACTGACCGAAACACAAAACGCAGGATTACGCCTAATACGACAGCTTATAATGGAAGGACATCTTCATTGAATACGTCCAAGTTCTAACAAAATACATCGTACATAACAGATTGAGGCAAAGAAAGAGATGGATATCATACGAAGCCCACTACCCATTACTTCTGCTTCATGTACATCGTCGACGACCAGTTGTTGATTGTAAACACCGCGCGCATGTTATAGTCGGCTTCCATTGAGGCAACGCGCCTAGTTGGTGGGTTCATCCGGCGTAGTTCAAATTCTTTCAGCTCGTCCTCCGCGGATACGATCTTTGGGATGGTATTACAGAAAAACCCAGCGGGACCATTGAACGGCTTCGTCACATCGACAATGAGCTGGCTGACAGGGAAGGCTGGACTGCCATGCGCAAGGACCAGGGTGTTCTCATCAACTTCTAAGAGACCTCGTGGATTCTCTATGAAACTGATCTGAATACCTCGCTCATCTGCCAATTTTTGAAGCCATGCGTGGTCATGTTTTCGGTATATGGGGTCCTGGAATATGATGGGTACAGGGACTTGAGATGCCTTCAAAGCGTCGGCGATATCGAAAGCGACGAGATGGTGATACAGGTTGTGGATGCGGTGCTGGCCTTCGTTTAATTTACTCAAGTTGACCGAGCTCAGGCATCCGAGTCCGAAACATACAATCTTTTTAATCATGGTGGTCTGCTCTTTCTCTGACTTCTTTTGGAAATAGCTCATGATCTCTTTGCGCTCCGCTGTCTCTTTCCACATGGCCTCGACTTGCCTCAGATCATCTTCCCGAAGCGGAGGGTGATCAGGATGCGCCCAGGGAAAGTGGAAACAAGGAATCTTCTTTTCTGCAAGGTGATTTAGATACGGGCCCCAGTTTTCATCCTCGAGTCCATAAGCCCGGGCCCAAAGGCCAAGATTGGTGGCCAACTCCTGATAACTCCAAAATTCAAACTTTGCCTTTGTTCCGGAACTAATGTAGATGTCAGAAGACCACGCATTTCTATTTTGGTACTGGTACCCTCAATGATGCCCCGCGATCTTTACTTACTCTTGGTTTACCCGCAATATTAACGAATGGTCAAAGTCATCATGCACCTTGCCATCGATGTCCATGAACGAGCAGTTGGGATTTTCTTCGGTTAGACCGGCGATGGCATTGGCAGCGAACTTGATTATCTCCATGGTGTAGACAGGTTTATTGCCAATGCCTTGGTAAAAGGTTTCCAGTTGCTTGCAGTACTGTTCCTGTTCTTTAGTTCGCTGCTCGGACACAGTCTCAGCATGTTGCTCTGCCATGATCAGCGTGTTGGACGGTCTTTTGAGGTTTGAAGGTGTCTGGATCGAGGGTGGGTGTATTCTGGAATGTCAAAGTTGTATTGAAGAAGAGTGATGAACTCGACAAAGTAGCTACCGCACCTGTAGTTTATACTCCTAGTGCATGACTGTGCCAACTCAAGACTCATTTCTCAGAGCCAGTATTTGTTAACACGCCATGAATGAGCCATTTCTCGGAGTCAGCGTTTTGGAATAGGTCACGGATGCGCCATAGCTCGTGCGTGGTACCGACGCAGCACTGGTTCAAGTCGACAAGCGCTAATACCACCGATCGCAGAATGCCATAGCATCTTGACTGACTACCTTAGTTTGCGGTTCTGGGAAACACAGCGGTGTGTCTCGTACTCCATTTGCAATGACTGATTCACCGTTCACGTTCGAAGATGATAACAAAGTCACTGCATTTACTCCCGTAATTTGACTCTGCCCCTCTCCATCCCGCACAATGAATCACTCAACGCTCAAGATGTCAGACCACACACGTATCGATTCACAGCTAGGTTCAAAGTGAGACCATTCCATCAGCGTACCAGTATCTCGTGCACAAAGACCTCATTTGTCACTTCTCCGCTGACTTTGAGCAATCATTCTTATATGAAAATCACTCTGAGATGGATTTTAAGAGCATAACTGCTGGATTTATTTTATAGAAAGGTCGCGAAATAGTAAGTATGAGTGAGTTAGTTGTTTATATAGGATGTCTAGTCGTTCGTTCTTAATAGATATAGTTTCTAAGAGCTACAGAAATAGCACTACTTCTGCTTCAAGTACAACGTCGACGCCCACTGGTCAACAGTGCAAATCGCCTTCATATTGTAATCTTTCTCCATTGAAGCGACGCGGCTGTTCACTAGATCCAACGGACTTTCTTTCGCCACGTCTAGTTCTTGCTCTAGAGACGAGATAGGGGGAATCGTCCAACACAAGAATCCAGTGGGGCCTTTGTAAGGATGCGTGATATCGACGATGAGCTGGCGAATTGGTAGTGCAGAACTATTGTAAGCTATAACTAGCGTGTGCGCATCCACCTGGAGCAGTGCCTGGGGGTGGTTGACAAATGTTACGGGCAGACGCTTCCTGTTGGCAAATTTATGTAGGAACTTAGTTTCATTTTCTTGGTATAAAGGATCTTGAAAGATGATGGGCATTGGCATCTTCGATTGGTACTTGGTTTGCAGTGCTTCGGCAATGTCAATAGCGAGGAGGTTGTGACCCAGGTACCAGCTAGGCTCGTAGATGCTGGGCTTCGACTCGCCATTGACATTAACCGTATGGAGTGGGCCTAATCCAAAGCAAACAATCTTCTTGATTTCAACCGTCGGACTCAAACTATCTAAGCTGCTGATGACAGGTGACGATCGGGGTTTCTATACCAGTACACGGCCGCTCGCTCCAGATCGGACTCTGATGTTGGATTTTTCTCCTGATCATGGAAAGGTATAATATACATGGGGATTTTTGCCTCCACGAGTCGCTCAAGAAGAGCCCAGTGCTGAGAGTAATTAGCATAGCGTCCATGAAATACCCACTCGGTAAGGTTTGAGGCTAGGTCAAGGTATGTAAAGAAGCGGATATCTGTCACAAAGCTTTCCCTGCATTATATGTCAGTCACAGTTCGCGGCTAGCTCGATGCACCCACTCTGTGCTGAAGAACCCCTTGAAGTCGAGTTCATCAATGATCTTTCCATCTATATTCATGAGTGAGCTCACGGTGTTTTCTGCTGAGAGTTTAGCAAACTGATTGGCGTTGTACTCGATCACCTTCGCAGTGAAAACTGGGTCGTCATTGAGGTCCTCATAGAACTTCTGTAGTCGGCTGCAAATATTTTCTCGTTGCTTGGTACTCTTTAGGATTGCTTTGTTTGCCATTTCGATGAACTGATTTCGATTAGGGTTGAGGTATTCGTTTTTGAATTTGGGTTCACTGTAAGAAAGTATAAATAGATCTGTAAAGCTTATCTGCGGATGAAAAAGAAGATCCCAGCATTTTTTTGAATGTATAGTTCTTCGAACTGACTGTTCTTGCGATGTAGTCATTCTCTAGAGTCAGAACTTGAATGTCTCAAGAGTCATGGCTGGTGGGAGCAGTGACGCAGCAATGCTGAGTCGATGCAGGACTTGGATCAGAGAAGAGGCCACGGCAGCGGATTAAGAGTCGAACCGACGACCCTGTTGACAGCTTGCGTTTCCATATTCATGAGAACTTACGGCCTCTTGTGACTGAGATCATACGCGTCTACCGACTTAGCCTCGTAGTCTAGAGAAGGGCTACGGGTCGTACAGAAAGAAAGGCAATCATCATAATTCCCCACTTCCTGTGTTAGGTCGACTGTGACTTGGAGACGCATCGAGAAAACACGGAGAAGAAGGAAAAGTACATAGTGCGAAAAGGAGACGGTAACAAACTGCTCCGGAGAAGCGAGACCTCGGTTGCCTGGCCCGTGCTACCCCAAGCTCTAGACAGTCCGCCTGCAATCCCCCGCGCTTCGAACCTCCGCATCCCCGCAACAAAATAGTTGTCCCTATCATGACCTGCGAATTGTCATAGCACGAATCCACCATGTTCAGCCCTTGTGCACCCATCTCGAGGGCCATTCCGCGCATCTCACGGAGTTGTACGCAATGCGGCGGGCCAAAGGACGGGAGTAAGCTGCGGGGACGGCGGTGGATGAGCAGCACGCAGCAGAAGCTCGTGAAGAGGCCCAAGACGGCCATCTTCTTTCCCGGTACGGAATTGCCTCCTGAGATGCACAATATGATTGAGAGTCTGTGAATGCTAACCATCACCAGGCCAGGGCGTCCAGAGAGTAGGCATGTGCGCCTCATGGCTCGAGGCCTTCCCAAACACGGCCAGACCCATCCTCGAAGAGATTGACGAGACTCTCCAAGTCCCTCTCACCAAGATTATAGAATCAGGCACCAATGCCGAGCTCACGCGAACCGAAAACGCGCAACCCGCCATCATGGCCACCTCGATCCTCATACTGCGCGTCATGGAGCAGGAATTCGGCTTCAAGACGAGTGAACGCGTCGATATCACACTGGGACACTCGCTGGGAGAGTTTGCAGCTCTTGTCGCAGGCGGCTACCTCAGCTTCCACGACGCGCTGAAGATGGTCCGCAGACGAGCCGAGGTCATGAGCCGGTGCAGCAAAGAAGCCGTCGAAGCTGAAGGCGGCGAGTTCGGCATGGTCGCCCTGGTATGCGAATCAGAAGCCCACCTGCAATCCCTCGTCAGCGGCATCCGCGAGTTCCTCGACCTCTCCGGGCCCCACGCCAAGTCCGACTCCAACAACGACCTGCCCGCCGTGCAGCAAGTCGCAGTCGCCAACATCAACTCGAAGAACCAGATCGTGCTGAGCGGCAGCATCGCGCGGATCAACACCCTCCTGACGAACCTCCGGCAATTCGGCGGCCACGACCCGCGACACGTACGCTTAAAATCCGACTCCCCCTTCCACAGCGCCCTCATGAAACCCGCCCAAGAGACGATGAAACGCATACTTCACAAGCCCCTCGAGAACGACCGCGACATCATAACATGGCCTGGCCTCATGCCCTGCATATCCAACGTCTCGGGAAAGCCATTTCAGAGCAAGGCACAGCTGAAGGATCTCCTGGCCCGCAGCTGCGTGGAGACGGTACAATGGTGGAAAAGCGTCAAGTATTTGCATGAGGAAGAGAAGGTGAGGCGGTATGTAGGCATTGGGCCAGGGAAGGTGGGGAGAAATCTCGTGGGAAAAGAAGTCGGGATGAAGGGCGCGGTCAAAGGGGGTGGCGTGTGGGGAATCACGAGTCCAAAAGAGATGGAAGAGGTTGTCAGGGCGCTGGATGATACCGAGGGATGTGAGGAAGTCTGAAGACGCCATGAGACAACCACATCAATACAGTACTGGGGGCCAAAGGAGCAAAGATGATATACCCTCGACGTATAGGTTTCACCGAGAGCATCAAGGATCCCTCTTGCAAGGACCGACCATTGTCCTGTAGCCCATAGGCTCACATGGCCTTCTACGCACCCTGCACATTCAAACCCGCATCGACCTGGATCCGCATACCCGTCATACTCGTATTCTTGGCCAGCATCACAAACGCAGCTGCACAGTCGTCCAGAAACGTCTCATGCTGCAGCACCGCGGCCTTCTTGACCTCTTCGATGCGCTCCTCGGGGTACTTCAAGCCCTGGGAAGCGTTAGCGGTATTCACATGCCTAAGTGGTTGGGACGATGATGGAAGATGAAAGATGGAGGGAAGCGTTCATAAGGGCTGCAGGAGTGGAGCAACACACCCATTCCGTCAACAGCAATCCAGGAAGAACAGTGTTGACGCGAATCTTCGGCCCAACGCTCACAGCGAGGCATTTCACAAGGTGCAGTTGGGCAGCTTTGGTGATGGAGTACGGCATGCTGGACCCGCCTTGACTGAGGGCCTAACAAGTGAAGTTAGTCAGCATTTGTAGTGTAAATCCTACACACATTGTAATGGAGAGTATACGACAAGGGGGTAGTAGATGAGACTAGGGGTCAGGACGGACGAAGGGGTTCTAGGCGCGTTGAAGAGAGAACTTACAGCTATACTCCCCGTAGTAATCATCTGCCCGCCTTGCTCATTCGCATTGAACGTCTTCTGCGCCTCGGTGAGAAGCGCCTTGGGCACTTTGACATTGGCCGCCCAGCATCGATCCCATTCTTCTTCGCTCATGGAGTCGAGATCTTTCCACTCACTGAACTTGGTCCAGCCCTGTTATTATTAGCTCCGCACTGCTCCGACTAATGATTTGCCGAGGATGGAGGGACGACGGTTGTGGATAGATGGATGAAGAGAGGGAATTAAAAGCAGAGTATAACCCACCGCATTAGCAATCACAATATCAATTCCGCCCAGCAGCTTAATCGTGTCTTGAACCGCTCTCTTCGCTTCAGCCGTGGACGTCATGTCCTAGAACCAGTCCGCAATGTCAGCATACACACCCACAATTTCCTTGATTAAAATACGAAGGAACATACCGCCTTAACAACCACGGCCTTGACCCCCTTCTCCTCACATTCCCCCCGTACTTTCTGCGCCGGCTCAATCCGATTGAAGTAATTGACCGCTATGTTCGCGCCTTCTTTGGCGAAGGTGAGGCTAAGCAGGGCGCCGAGACCGCTGGGAGGAAGGTCGTTAGTTTAATTTTCGTTGGATTGGAGTTCGGAGGGGTGGAAGATCTAGGCGAGAATAGAGAGAGAGGGGTGAATGGATAGATGGATAGATGAATGGATGGATGTACATACGCCGAGCCGCCTGTAACAAGGACATTCTTCCCCTTGAGATCGTACGGCATGATTCGTTATGAGTTTGTTTGTTTATTTGTTCGTTCCGTCAACGGCTCGTGAGTAAGCGGGGAGGTAGTCGTATAGCTATTATGACAGCGTGACGGCAAGGTAAGTCGTAGGGCGAGGTTTAAGATCAAAAGGTGTGTAGCTTCTCAAAGTAAGCAAGCAGCGAGGGAGTAAGGACAAAGTCAACAGCAAGAGCGTCCGTCTGTTGTCTTCCGGCGTCGGGTGTCATAGCATAGCCAGGCCAGCATGTGGGGCACCAGCAGCTAGTTCGGAGATAACGCAAGGTACCAAGGTGGGACAGCCGATGAACCGCGGCAGCCGATGAACCACTTTTTACTAGTAAAAAAGCTAAAAATTAAGATTTTATTTATTTAATAACTAAATAAATAATATATATATAAAAAAACTTTATATATATAAAATATAGAAAAAACTTATCTTTATAATTCTATAATTTTAGTTTAGTTTAATACTTTATATTAATAAAGTTATATTAAAAGTAAAAATAGAAAAAAGCTACTTTTAATACTTAATAACTCTATTAATATTATATATTAAACTATTTTAAAATTCTAACTTTATAGA